CCATCCATGTTGTTGCAAATGGTAGGATTTGTTTCTTTCTTATGGCTGAATGGTATTCCATTGTGTATATGTAGCACATCTTCTTTATCCATTCATCTACTGATAGACACTTAGGTTGCTTCCATATCTTGGTTATTCTAAATAGTGCTGCAATAAACATAGGGGTGCATATGTCTTTTTGAATCTGAGAAGTTGTATTCTTTGTGTAAATTCCAAGGAGAGGGATTCCCAGATCAAGTGGTATTTCTATTTTTAGTTTTTTGAGGAACCTCCATACTGCTTTCCACAGTGGTTGAAATAGCTTACATTCCCACCAGCAGTGTAGGAGGGTTCCCCTTTCTCTGCATCCTCGCCAACATTTGTTGTTCTTAGTCTTTTTGATGCTGGCCATCCTTACTGGTGTGAGGTGATATCTCATTGTGGTTTTAATGTGCATTTCCCTGATGATTAGTGATGTGGAGCATCTTTTCATGTGCCTGTTGGCCATCTGAATTTCTTCTTTGGATAAGTGTCTCTTCATATCCTCTGCCCATTTGTTAATCGGCTTATTTGCTTTTTGGGTGTTGAGGCATGTGAGTTCTTTATATATTTTGGATGTTAACCCCTTGTCGGATATGCCATTTACAAATATATTCTCCCATACTGTAGGATGCCTTTTTGTTCTGTTGATGGCGTCCTTTGCTGTACAGAAACTTTTTAGTTTGATGTAGTCCCATGAGTTCATTTTTTATTTTATTTCCCTTGCCCGAGGAGATGGGTTCAGGAAGAAGTTGCTCATGCTTATATTCAGGAGATTTTTGCCCGTATTGTCTTCTAAGAGTTTTATGGTTTCATGACTTACATTCAGGTCTTTAATCCATTTCGAGTTTACTTTTGTGTATGAGGTTAAACAATAATCCAATTTCATTCTCTTGCATGTAGCTGTCCGGTTTTGCCAACACCATCTGTTGAAGAGGCTGTCGTTTCCCCATTGTATGTCCATTGGCTCCTTTATCATATATTAATTGACTGCATATGGTTGGGTTTATGTCTGGGCTCTCTAGTCTGTTCCATTGGTCTATGGGTCAGTTCTTGTGCCAGTACCAAATTGTCTTGATTACTGTGGCTTTGTAGTAGAGCTTGAAGTCTGGGAGCATAATTCCCCCGGCCTTATTCTTCCTTCTCAGGATTGCTTTGGCTGTTTGGGGTCTTTTGTGGTTCCATATGAATTTTAGAATGATTTTCTCTAGTTTGTTAAAGAATTCTATTGGTATTTTGATAGGAATTGCATTGAATCTGTAGATTGCTTTAGGCAGGATGGCCTAACGCCAGGGTAGTGTTTGCGGGTTTGCGAGCCAGTGGGGCTGGCTGGGGAAAGGCGCGGTAGGCTGTGTATCACAGAGGAGGTCCTTGGAGCTGTGTAGCCAGTCAGGGAGCTGAGCGCCTGAAGATAGTCAAAGCTCCCAACCTGCTGGGCAGTGTGCACCCAGACAGTTTGTCTACCTGTCCTTTCCTGAGCAGTGAGCTCTGTGCAATCCTTGCCCCTTTAGCAGCCCTCTTGCTGTTAGGACGTCTCTCAGACTGCCTGCCTTTCTTTTGTCCCAGAGCAGCCGGATATGGATCTCTGCTTTCCACAAGCCGCTGGAATCTCATTCTCTCCAGAAATTCTTCCTCTCTTAGCTTCCAACCTCCTAATCACAAGAGTACCATGCAAGCACTATGAAATGTAGGTTTGTGCTCCCAGAACAGATCTCCAGAGTTAGGCATTCAGCAGTTCCGGGCCTCCCCTCCCTCCCTGCTCAGTTTCTCTTCCTCCTGCCCATGAACTGGGGTGAGGGAGGGGCTTGGATCCCACTGGGCCATGGCTTTGGTACCTACCCTGTTCTGTGAGGTGTGCTCTTTTCTCCAGGTGTATGCAGCCTGGTGCAGTCCTCTTTCCTGTTGCTCTTTCAGGATTAGTTGCATTATATTTTCATATTATATACAGTTTTAGGAGGCAGCCTCTGTCTCATCTCTCATGCCGCTATCTTTAATTCTCTCTGTGTGGCCATTTCTTTTTTTTTTTTTGGCCATTTCTTAAAGGAAGACAGCAGTGCAGTTTGCCACATTGATGAACCCTTCCTTTTACAAACCGTTTCTCTGTTCCATGCGAGATGCTGTTTGATAGCACTTTTCCCACTGTACAACATCTTCCAAATTGAGCCAGTCCTCTCAAAACCTGCTGCTGATTTTTTTATGTTTATGAACTATTCTAAAGTATATGTAATATTCTAAATCCTGTGCTGCGATTTCAACAATCTTCGCAGCACCTTCAGAAGGAGCAGATTCCATCTCAAGAAACCGCTCTCTCTGCTTGTTGGGAAGCAGCTCCTTGTCCCTTCAGGTCTGATCGTGAGACGCAGCAGTTCAGCCGCATCCTTGGGCTCCACTTCTAACCCTGGTTCTCCTGCTGTCACATGTCGTGTGCGGTTACTTCCTCCCCTGTGGCCTTGAACCCCCAAAGTCACTCGTGGGGATTGGAATCAACGTCTACACTCCTGTTAATGTTGCTATTTTGACCTCTTCCCATGAATCATGAATGTTCCTGATGGCATCTAAAGTGGAGAATCCTTCCGGAAGGCTTTCAGTGGACTCTGCCCCAAGCCACCAGAGGAATCACTCCAGGGCAGCTATAGCCGTATGAAATGGGTTTCTTAAATAATAGGACTTGAAAGTCAAAATGACTCCTTGGCCCACGGGCTGCAGAATGGATGCTGTGTGAGCAGCCCTAAAACAGCATTCATCTCGCTGCCCATCTCCACTGGAGCTCTTGGGGGACCAAGTGCTCTGTCAACGAGCAGTAATATTTTGAAAGGAATCATCATTTTTCCTGAACTGTAGGTCTCACTGTGGGCTTAAAATATTCAGTAAACCATCTTGTAGACACACATGTGGTCATCCAGGCTATGTTGTTGCATTTCGAGAGCACAGGCAGAGTGGATTCAGCATAATTCCTAAGGGCCCTAGGGTTTCCAGTGGTCAGTGAGCCCTGGCTGCCACTTGAAATCACCAGCTGCCTTAGCCCCTGATGAGAGTCTGCCTGGCCTCTGAAGCTCTGAAGCCAGGCACTGACTTTCTTCTTCAGCTATGAAAGGCCTAGACGGCATCTTCCAACAGAGGGCTGTTTCGTCTACGCTGGAAGTCAGAGTTGTTCAGTGTAGCCACCTTCAATTTTCTCAGCTGGATCTTCTGGGTGACCTGCTGTGCTGCAGCTTCTCCTTCAGCCTCTGCTGCTCCACCTGCACATTGATGTTAGGGAGACGGTGTCCTTGCTTAAACCTCGTGAACCTCTGCTAGCTTCAGGCTTTGCTTCCACAGCCGCCTCCCCTCTGCCGGCCCTCGTTGCACTGAGGAGAGTCAGAGCCTTGTTCTGGATGAGGCTTTGGCTTAAGGGACTGTAGTGGTGGTTTGACCTTCTAGCCAGACCACTCAAACCTCCTCCACGTCAGCAACAAAGCCGCTTCACTTTCTCATCACCCATGTGTCCCCTGGAGTAGCACTTTTAAGTTCCTCTGAGAACTTTTCCTTTGCATCACCACTTGGCTGACTGTTTGGTGCAAGAGGCTTTGCTCTGGGCCTGTCTTGGCCTTTAACATGCCTTCCTCACTAAGCTTGATCATTTCTGGCAAAAGCTAGATTGAAAGGGAGAGTTGTGTAGCTGTTCCCTCCACTTAAACTCTTAGAGGCCACTGGACTAATTTCAGTATTGTTGTGTATCAGGGAATAGGGAGGCCCGAGGACAGGGAGAGAAAATTCCTTACCAAAACAGCTTTAGTTTTCCTCTACAAGGGGATTCTATTTTCACAGCAAAGATGATACTTCACCCTTTTTTCTAAATAGGTTTTTTTTCTACCCCTACAAATGCCTATTTTCTCCGATGTACAGGCCCTAATGGGACGCTACAGTAGTAATACTCATTTGGGAGAAGGTGGGCAACAGCATGGAGGGCATCTGCCAGCTGTTTGACCCCAAAGGGGAAGGTTGGGTTTTGGGATAAAGCAGGGCTTTGTGAAGGGAAGAGGTTAGTAGGAACCTTCCTGGTGATGTCCCGATGCTGTGAATGTCCTCTGGATGGGCAGGATGTGGAGGGAGGCCTGGGCGTCCATTAGACAGTCCTGCCTCAGAGTGTCCCTAGAATGTAAAGAGCAAGCGTCTCACTTGCCACTGTCCTGCCACAGAGGCCCTCTTCCAAAACTCCAGAGCCGGCATCTTGCAGGAGCCCTTTGTGAGCGAGGCGCACAGTGAGGCAGCTGGCTGGGCAACATGCTGGGTACAGTTGTCAAGAGTCAGTAAGTCATGTGTGTATGTTTTTCCCTTAGGTCCATTTTCCAGATACTGAAAGAGCAGAGTGGCTAAATAAGGTAAGAATGGAAGATACTAAGTACTAGATTTCAGTGGGAATTAGAAATTGGGATTCTTCCCATATCTAGGAATTTGGATGCTGACAAGATGTGAACTTGTTTGGACTCAGCGGGTGGCTTCTGCTCCCAAAAGACTCAGTTATAACTGATAATTACTCTCCTTTCTAAGCAGTGAAACTATCTTTGCCATGGGAAAATTAATCATATATTCATGACTGTGTCTTTGGTCTTATGGCTTCTTTCCTGTGGCTAATGCTCAGATCTGTTTTATAATAATCATAAGTGAAAATTCTGGAAATATTTTGAAGAGGGAAATGACTCCCAGGAAACCTAGTTATATATAATAGTCATTTATTTATTTAAAAAGATTATATTTTTAGATCAGTACACTGTGAAGTAGATCTCTTTTATCTCTACATTTTATGTACCCTTAAAGCTATATAGTAAAAGCTAGTGTAGGCAATAATTACCTTACAGGATTGAAAGTGAGCCCATAATTAAAGAAAACCCAGGATTTATTAAGATCTATACGGTTTTAGAAGATACTTAGCAATGTGTTGAAACTACAGGATTTTCTTATTTTCAGCAGTCATTAAATGTGCTGATATGCTTAAACAGAATGTTTAACCAGAATTTTTACTACCTGTAACATACTAATTAATAGTTTACTAATTTAATACATTTTAGAATTTTAGATTGTGTTGATTTGCATAAGAAATGGACCCCCTTTTATTTCCAAAAATTTTGATAGGCTTCAGGATCATAATTTTTCATGGTGACATCAGTATATTATGTATTGTGACATTTTGTTTAATGTGAGTTCTCCTTTCCAGACTGTAAAACACATGTGGCCATTCATTTGCCAGTTCATAGAGAAGTTGTTTCGAGAAACCATAGAGCCAGCTGTGCGGGGAGCACACACCCACCTCAGCACCTTCAATTTCTCCAAAGTTGACATGGGTCAGCAGGTCAGTTTATCCTGAAGGGCGCTTGGGCACATGGTGGCAGTGCTGTGAGACCTCAGGGTACAGGCTCTTCAGATCGTTTTCCAGTGAAAGCTGTCCCCGGGCAGGTCTGATGGGTGTCTCTGCAGTCGCCCCAGGTGCTGTCTCCCGCAGGCCCCCTTACACGTTGGCAGTCTTCCATGTTCCCCTCTCAGCCCTGTGGTCTAGGGCCAGGATGGCCCCTGGGCAGATACCTGAGCTCGCCGCACATTCTCTGTGAGAGCCCTCTGCAGTTGTCCGCAGTGCACTCTGCTGCAAGGGGGGTTGACGTTGACATTTGAAGTCCCGCTGGAAGGTCAGTGGTTGATGACGAGATGAAGGTTCTCACCCCTCAAGACACTTAAAGACAGTAGCTATGGCTCCAATGCCAGGCTTGTAGGCAAGGCTCTAACGTGACAGATAAGGGGAGAGAGGGGTTTTGATACTGGAATCATATTCTGTGCAGAGGACAGCTGCCACTATTCCTCATGTGTTCCAGGGTCTCCTAAGACTACACTTAGGGTAGTGGGTCATGGCAAGCTTCCTTTTTGATTTTGCAAGTCAGTGTCTATAAAATTAGCAACCATTCAAGATAACACTTTTTAAATTGAGTTATAATTGACAAATAGCATAATACTGGTTTCCAAGGTAACATTGTTTTATATGCTGAATAAAAATTCAGAATTCAGTAGTACAGTAAACACACATGTGCAGTGTACACACATTTAGTGCACATACACTGGAGCCAGACAGTATGCCATCACAATACCGCAAGGCTCAGGTGTCTTTGCTGCAGTGTGTTGGGGTTTTAATGAATGTGGTGAAGAGGGTCTGAGCTGGTTGCCATGTGGGCTGTCACCCTTGTCTGTCAGCACCCCCATTCTCCAGGCCACGGACCCCCCCCACCCTCAGAGAAGGCTTCGTCTCCACAGTCACTCAGAATGTGGGTCTCCAGTGCAGGCACAGTGTTGTATTTAGCTGTGCTGTGCAGCTATTTCCTCTTGGCTGTGAGGCCTTCAGATGCATTCAAAGCTGCAGCTGGTCACCCTGTTTGAGCCCAGAGGCACATGCACAGGACACCCGTGTGACATTTATCTTTAATATTTACTTTACTTTCTGCAGCCTAAATAGTAATGAGATGGGAAGACACGACTGCAAGTAGGATGCTACATGGACCAGAAGCAGGAGTGTACACCTTTTCTGTAAAGTGCCAAATAGCGTGTGTTCTAGGTTCTGACAGCCACGTAAAGTCATTGGGGCAGATTCCTCTCCTGCCCCTCCATCTCCTACAACCCTTTAAAAATGTAAAAGCAGTCTTCACCAAAGGCCAGATTGAAGCCGGTGGGCCTTGTTTGCTATCCCCTAATGTAAGTTATCCTCTGATTTGTGGAGATCGAGAATTCTGGCCCCAGCTGTGTTTTCAGGGAGAATTACACTCATGTTCTATACAAGTAAGATCCAATGGAGAACAGTGCTGACTGATAGGGGCAGCGTGGCGTTATTTCCACTGCTCTGACCTCGTACAGGCACATGTGAGCTCGGGCTGTTTTCCAGAGAGCAGGGCATTTGGCCACAAGTCCCTATCTGCAGGTGTCTGTCCCTCTTTGGGTAATGCTCACTCTTGTGGCAGGGATGGCCTGCTTCTCCCAATCTAGGATGTCAAGTGGAAGAAGGGAATCTTATTTAATGCAAACTATTAAAATAAGGCCCTAAGGCAACTTCTGTCCCGTTTTCACTTATCAACACTTAACCATAGTGGGTGGCTGTGTTCTTGGTGACTCTCAGTCTGTAGTGTGTGAGTTGGGATCCTCGGGAAAGCCCTGCACCTGGCAGAGCAGAAGATGAGACCCTCAGAGACATAGAGTTTAACCTACCACTGGTTGAGGGGTAAGATTGCAGGACGCCCAGGCTGTCGGAGTAGGTCGTCATCTCTAAAGGTGAGAGGTCTCTTCTGCACTCAGTTCTTAATGCTCCATGTGGTGTTGAGAACTTGCTCAGGAGGGTTCTCCACCTAACAAATGGAAAAGGTTTGAAATGGTGTTGTACCTGGACCCTTGAGATAGAGCAGTTAATGTGATCTGCCTTTTATTTTCAGGGTCACTTGATTCTGGCCCTCTGTCATGTATTAGCTGTTGAAGTTATAGCTACAGCTAGTATTTTTGATTTACTCAAAATCCTCCATTTTTTTTATTAAAATCTTAAGAAATGAAAAATTACAAGACAAAGAAAAAATGGAAAGGGAGTTACATTACAAGCATTTGTCAGGAAAGGATCAAAGCAAGCAGGAAGAGACAAGGGGCAGTGGGCTCGGCCAAGAGCAGATGCCCCTGTGTTCACTGCTGCCAAGCCCTCACCTCGTGTGGCATGTTTCTCATGTCCTTTGGTGTCACATAACCTCGTGAGATAGATGCCACTTTTATCCGCGCTTCCTAGAAGAATGGAGGTTAAATAACTTGCCAGAGTGAGATAGCTGTGTGGAGAGAGCAGAAGTTCAGTGCCCGCAGTCAGGCGCTGAAGCTTTCTCTCTTCATCTCTTTGCCCTGTTGCAGTTTGTTTTCCCTTCACCCTTCCTGCATTTTAAAATGTGCTGCTTCTTGTTTCAGCCCCTCAGGATCAATGGTGTTAAGGTATATACTGAAAATGTGGACAAAAGGCAAATTATTTTGGACCTCCAGATTAGGTAAGTTTTTATTTGTGTTACATTTGTAACATAATTTGTCATAATTAATGATGTATGATGTCACTTAGCTAAACCCATAGGGTGGAGGATATAATGAGCACACTTCTTACCATTGCTTGATGGAATTTGACTGAATTCTTGTTAAAGGCCCCAATTTATTTACTTTCTGGGTCACAGTTCCCGATAGCCTAGATACTGCCATTTATAAAATACCTTAAATAAAAGAAATTAAAGGCACCCCAACAAAAGTAAACTACAGACCCGTATTCCTCATGAACACAGATGACAAAATCCTCAACAAAATACCAGCAGACCAACTTTAATAACATAGTAAAAGGACCCTGTACCAAACCCAGTGGAATTTATTCCAGGAATGCAAGGATGGTTCAACATTGGAGAGTTAATCAGTGTGACACAGCACATCAACAGAATGAAGGGCGAAACCACGTGGTCATCTCAGTTGATGCAGAAAAAGCATTTAACAAAATTCACCTTTCATGATAAAAACGCTCAGCAAACTAGGAATAGAGGAAAACTACTGTCACATAATAAAGGCATGTATGAGAAACCCACAGTGAACGTCACATTCAGCAGCGAGGCCTGAAATCTTCCATGTAAGATCAGAAGCATGGCAGCATGCCTGCCCCCACCACTTCTGTTCCGTGCGGCCCTGGAAGGCCTTGCCAGAGAGGCCAGAGAGTTAGGTAAGAAGAACAAAGCATCACACTGGAAAGGAAGGAGTGACGTGGTCTCTGTGCACAGATATGATCTTACACATGGGAAACCCTAAAGGCTTCACAAAGACCTGTTAGAGCTAATAAACGAATTTGGCAAAGCAGTGGGCTACAAAGTCACATGCAAAAATCAGTTAACATTCTATGCTCTGAGAATGAACAATCCAAAAAGGAAATGAAGAAAACAGTTCTATTCACAAGAGCATCAAAAGGATAAAATACTAAAAATTAACTTAACCAAGGTGGTGAAAAGTACAAAATACTGCCATGAGAAATGAAAGATATAAATAAATGGAAAATAAGTTTCAAAGACTTAATTTTGTTATGTCAATACTAAAAGCATACTACAGAATCAATGCAATTCATATAATCAAATATCTGATAAGTGGCTGATACCCAGAATATATATCCTACATCCCCACAACCACAAAACTAGTGACCCAATTCAAAGATGGGCAGAGCCCTTACACAGGCATTTCCCCGACAGTCAACAGGCACGTGGAAAGATGCTCAGTCTCACTCATCGGCAGGGAAATGAAATCAAACCACAATGAGAAACCATCTCACCCCCATGAGGACAGCGGCTTCCGAAAAAACAGAAAGCAAGTGCCAGCAAGGATGTGGAGGGATCGGAGCCCTTGCGGGAATGTAACCTGATGCAGCTGCTAAGGAAACAGAATAGCGGCTCCTCAAAAAATTTAAAAAAATTACCATATGACCCAGCATTTCTACATTGGGGTATATACCCAAAATACCAAAAGCAAGGTCTCAGAGATGCGGACACCCATGTTCATAGCAGCAGTATTCACAAGAGCTAAGATGTGGAAGCAACAAGTAGCCACTGGCATGTCAATAGGTGGCTGTGTGAGACGTCCACATGTGCAGCAGAACTATTCAGTTTAAAAAGAAGGCAATCCTGTAACCGAGAAGAAATGGACAACTTTCTAGAAAAATACAACCTTCCAATGCTGACCCAGGAAGAAACAGAAAATCTAAATAGACCAGTTACCAGCAACGAAATTGAATTGGTAATCAAAAAACTACCTAAGAACAAAACCCCTGGACCAGATGGTTTCACTGCTGATTTTTATCAAACATTTAGTGAAGACATAATGCCCATCCTCCTTAAAGTTTTTCAAAAAGTAGAAGAGGAGGGAATACCCCCAAAGTCATTCTACGAGGCCAGCATCACTCTAATACCAAAACCACGCAGATACCACAAAAAAAGAAAATTACAGACCAATATCCGTGATGAACATAGATGCAGAAATACTCAACAGAATATTACCAAACTGAATTCAAAAATACATCGCAAAAGATCATCCATCATGATCAAGTAGGATTTATTCCAGGGATGCAAGGATGGTACAGCATTCGAAAATCCATCAATATCATCCACCACATCAACAAAAAGAAGGACAAAAACCACATGATCATCTCCAGATGCTGAAAAAGCATTCAGCAAAATTCAACATCCATTCATGATAAAAACTCTCAACAAAATGGGTATAGAGGGCAAGTACCACGACGTAATAAAGGCCATGTGTGACAAACCCACAGCCAACATCATACTTAACAGTGAGAAGCTGAAAGCTTTTCCTTTAAGATCAGGAACAAGACAAGGATGCCCACTCTCCCCACTTCTATTCAACATAGTTCTGGAGGTCCTAGCCACGGAAATCAGACAACACAAAGAAATAAAAGTCATCCAGATTGGCAAGGAAGAAGTCAAACTGTCCCTGTTTGCAGATGACATGATATTGTACATAAAAAAAACCCTAAAGAATCCACTCCAAAACTACAAGATGTAATATCTGAATTCAGCAAAGTTGCAAGATACAAAATTAATACACAGAAATCTGTTGCACTCCTATACACTAACGATACTAGTACAAAGAGGAAGCAGGAAAACAATTCCATTCACAATTGCATCAAAAAGAATAAAATACCTAGAAATAAACCTAATCAAGGAAGTCAGAGACCTATGCTCTGAAAACTACAAGATACTCATGAGAGAAATTAAAGAAGATACCAATAAATGGAAACACATCCTGTGCTCATGGATAGGAAGAATTAATATTGTCAAAATGGCCATCCTGCCTAAAGCAATCTACAGACTCAATGCAATCCCTATCAAAATACCAACAGCATTCTTCAACGAACTAGAGCAAATAGTTCTAGAATTCATAAAGAACCACAAAAGACCCTAAATAGCCAAAGCAATCCTGAGAAGAAAGAAAAAAGCTGGGATTATGCTTCCCAACTTCAAGCTCTACTACAAAGCCACAGTAATCAAGACAACTTGGTACTGGCACAAGAACAGAACAACAGACCAATAGACTAGAGAGCCCAGATATAAATATATGGTCAGTTAATATACGATAAAGTAGCCATGGACATACAATGGGGAAATAACAGCCTCTTCAACAGCTGGTGTTGGCAAAACTGGACAGCTAAGTGTAAGAGAGTGTAACTGGATTATTGTCTAACCCCATACACAAAAGTTAACTCAAAATAGATCAAAGACCTGAATGTAAGTCATGAAACCATAAAACTCTTAGAAGACAACATAGGCAAAAATCTCCTAAATATTAACATAAGCATCTTTTTCCTTAACTCATCTCCTTGGGCAAGAGAAACGAAAGCAAAAATGAACACATGGGACTACATCATGTTAAAAAGCTTCTGTACAGCAAAGGATGTCATCAGCAGAACAAAAACGCATCCTACAGTGTGAGAGAATATATTTGTAAATGACATATCCAATAAGGGGTTAACGTACAAAATATGTAAAGAACTTACATGCCTCAACAACCAAAAAGCAAATAACTCAATTAAAAAATGGGCCGAGGATATGAACAGACACTTCTCCAAAGAAATTCAGATGGCCAACAGGCTCATGAAAAGATGCTTCACATCACTAATTATCAGGGAAATGCAAATTAAAAACAACAATGAGATATCACCTCACACCAGTTAGGATAGCCAATATCGAAAAGACTAAGAACAACAAATGCTGGTGAGGATGCGGAGAAAGGGGAACCCTCCTACACGGCTGGTGGGAATGTAAGCTAGTTCAACCATTGTGGAAAGCAATATAGAGGTTCCTCAAAAAACTAAAAATAGAAATACCATTTGACCCGGGAATTCCACTCCTAGGAATTTTCCCAAAGAATACAAGTTCTCAGATTCAAAAAGATACATGTACCCCTATGTTTATTGCAGCAGTATTTACAATAGCTAAGATATGGAAGCAACCCAAGTGTCCATCAGTAGATGAATGGATAATGAAGGGGTGGTACATATATACAATGGAATACTATTCAGTTATAAGAAAGAAACAAATCCTACCATTTGCAACAACATGGATGGAGCTTGAGAGTATTATGCTCAGTGAAGTAAGCCAGGCAGAGAAAGACAAGCATTAAATGATTTCCCTCATTTGTAGACTGTAACAACAAAGCAAAACTGAAGGAACAAAATAGCAGCAGACTCAGAGACTCCAAGAAGGGACTAGTGGGTACCAAAGGGGAGGGGTGTGGGATGGTGGGTGGGTAGGGAGGGAGAAGGGGATTGAGGGATATTAAGATTAGTACATGTGGTGTGGGGGGGGTAATGGGGAAGACAGTGTAGTACAGAGAAAACTAGTGACTCCGTGGCATCTTACTACACTGACAGTCAGTGACTACAGTGGGGGTGTTGAGGGGACCCCATAATATGGGTGAATGTAGTAACCACATTGTTTTTCATGTGAAACCTTCATAAGAGTGTATATCAATAATAAAAGTAATAATAATAAATAAAATAAAATAAAATAAATACAAAGATTTCATGAAAACAGTAAAAAAAAAAGAGAAGGCAGTCATGTCTCCTGCTTCCACATGGAGGAACCTTGAGGACATGACACTAAGTGAAACAAGGCTGTCACAAGAGCACAAATTCTGTCTGATTCGACCCGTAAAGTCTCTCTTGGAGTCAGATTCATGGAGAGCAGATGGTGGGGGTGGCCTGCTATTTAGTGGGTACAGTTCCAGCTTTGTGAGGTGGAACGTGTCCTTGATGGGATGGCTGCACAATGGAGTGCATGCGCTTCATCCCACTGGGCTGTACACTGGGGTGGTACACTATCTTCCCCATTACCCCCCACACACCATATGTACTAATCATAATACCCCTCAATCCCCTTCTCCCTCCCTCCCCACCCATCCTCCCACAACCCTCCCCTTTGGTAAGCACTAGTCCCTTCTTGGAGTCTCTGAGTCTGCTGTTGTTTTGTTCCTTCAGTTTGTGAGCTGGCAGCAGACTCACAGAACCCAAGAATGGACTAACAGTTTCCAAAGGGAAGGGAGGGATAAGGGGGAAAAAGGGGCATTATGATTAGCACACATAATGTAGTGGGGGGGACATGGAAAGGCAGTATATATAGAGAAGACAAGTAGTGATTCTATAGCATCTTACTACACTGATGGACAGTAACTGTATGGGATATGTGAAGGGGACATGATAATAGGGGGAGTCTAGTAACCATAATATTGTTCAAGTAATTGTACATTAATGATACCAAAATGAAAGTAAATAAATAAATAAATAAAATGTATCAGATGGCTGATTTTATGTGTACTTCACCACAATGAGAATAATTGGAAAAAAATGAATTGAGGGTCTTCCAGTTGTTGAACTCAACTTGATGGGTGGTTTCCCTTGATCCTTGTCTTCACTCTTGGTGACTTTGCTCATCGCTTCCTGCATCCCAGGTGAGGCCTGCTCACACAGCTGTTCACAGAGTGACTGCTGAAGTGTACTCACCAACAGACTCAGCTGGGTTCTTTTTCATCGTCTGACCCTTGACTGAAGATCCTTTTATAATGTCATCTTTGAGTTTCTGAAGTGTGTTAATGTAGGAAATGTACAGAGTTGGTACCAGGTAACCTTTTTCTAGAAAGGGGCATGGAGTATCTCTAATGATCTCATGTGGAAAATCTGCATCCTTAGAATAACTGGCACTACTGCAAACGCTGTTGTCATCCGGGAAATAGAAGAGGAAGCCCTCTTGTGTTCAGTTCCCTATGCCTAGGAGGGCAGTGCACCAGGTTGACAGTGAGCTCTGGGGAGGGTACCTTGTTTGAGGTCCAACCCTAGGCAGGGTCTCATACATGTTATTAAACAGACATGCAGGTGAGTCAGTTAGCAGGTGCCACGTGGAAGGCGCAGTCTGGCACTCACAGTTTTAGTTTTAACCACATGCAGATTATGCTGCTCAGATACTTACATCTAAAAAAAATCTGCATTCTACTTTTTTGGTATTCCGGCCAAGGACCTTAACAGGATTACTGGCAGTAAGGATGGGGAAGGAGTAATGGAAAGATACTAGAAAATGAAATGATCCAGTCTCAGTGAAGAAGAGGAAAGCTTTGGGATGGTTTTGTAACAGGCTGTCACTGGTGACATTGCCAACTGGACAATTCTTGTTGATCTATAGGTGCTGGCTTCAAGGCCAGGAGAGTAAATGTCTTACCCCAGATGCCTTTTGGTACTTTGCTGTGTGCTGAGATGCTCTATCCAGCATTTATAAACTGTTCCCAGACATTCTCAGACAGGAGTGCGGCACCCTGCCTCTGGAGTCGAGGGTCGGAATCAGATCATATAGATCCACAGAGAATGTAGGTGGCGTTTCCTGTTTGTATTGTAAGTAGATGCAAACCGTGCCTTCCACATCACCCTGCATTCATGTTCATTCCATGTCAGTGATTGAAATGACTGAGTCTTCGAGTGAAATTGCTGCCCAGGCAGTGTCCTTCACTTTGACGCCGCAGACCCTGGAGCACTGCTGGTTTCCTCACAACTGGGGACGTGGTGCAGAACTTACTTGTAATGTAAATCTAAACTCTGTACATTTTAAACAAGCATGGTTGTTTATAAAGCAAATGAAAGCTATGTCGTGTCGAGAGGCTGCTCCAGAAGCTGCACTCGGAGGGGTGTGGTGGTGGGCCTGGAGGCACTGCCGCTCGCAGCCGGCTGGGAGTACTCTGGCACACAGGCCCCAGGCTGCAGTTTTGCCTACAGCTGCGTTTGGTTGCTTTCCTTTCATTTTACTCATATTATATGTCTGCCTTGCAGGTCTATGGTGATTAAGAGAATTAATTCAGAACTTTTTCTTTGCTAGTTTTGTAGGAAATTGTGAGATTGATTTGGAGATCAAGCGATATTTTTGTAGAGCTGGTGTGCAAAGTATACAGGTAAGATTTTTTGAATTTCATTCTTCTAAAATCTCTCTATGCTCTGTTTAAGAAGAAACTTGTGATGTTTTTATTAACTCAGTTTCTTTGAAGTTGAGAATTTATTTGTAGGTTATATGGTTATACTTGAGAGAAAACTGAAGTCAAATGCTCAGAAGTTGCTAAGACAGTCATGCATCTGCATCAGCAAGTGGCCTGTGGAGTTGTTTTCTATAACATGTTTTGGTTTCCTGTTTGAATTCAGATTCATGGTACCATGCGGGTGATCCTGGAACCATTGATTGGAGACATGCCCTTGGTGGGAGCTTTGTCCATCTTCTTCCTTAGGAAGCCAGTAAGTCATTTACTTCATGATTATCTTCTGATTCCCTGACAACAATGTGTACATCTCAGAGTATATTAGGCGGAGAACGGAGTTCTGTCTTTAACGCACTTCTTCCCTGATGCATGAGTCCTGTGGCTGTTTTCATGCCTCTCTGTGTATTGATTGAGGGCCTTGCTCTTTAGATGGACAATATTTTGCTGATTATAAACATAATTTTTGTCACAGAACATTTGAAGACATATTTTTTTTTTAAAGCATAGGTTGTAACTAACATTCACATCTCACTGCATGTGATTTACATATAATCTATGTGATTTAATCCTCTCAGAGTCTAATTTGTCAGTAAGTTGGGCGTGCAACTAGACCCACCCAGCTGGACACAGGCACCACTCTCATCCTCACCACCAGGCTCCTGCAGCCATTCCCACAGACCACGGTGGCCCCATTCTGCATTGCCACCATTTGTGGTGTGTTTAATGAACTACAAAGACAGAATACTATTCTTAAAAGTTTTAAAAGTCATAAGGATTTTTTTGACTGAGTTATAACACTTCGCTAAACATAATGTTATTTCACGTTGTTAAATACATGTTACTCCATTGTTTGTTATAAGTGCTCATCACTCATTATTAGCCACAAAAATAAGAGAACAAAAATGTCACTCCTGCCTAAACTCGCCCTCGCCGATAGTCTCCCCTTCCCTGGGTGGCTCCTTACCGGCAAGGCTTCTCCTCACCTGAGCTCCTGCAGCCTCTGATGGGCTTCCTGCCTTGACTCTGTCCTTGTAGACATCACCACTTGGGTGACTTCCTGAGGCCAGACTGGCCCACCAGGGGCCCTCTCTCACTTGCAGACAGTCACTGTAGTCCAGATGGGGTCCCTCTTGCCAGCGTCGCCCCACGTTCCAAGCCCCGGGAGAATTACAGCCCAACGGTGGTGCCAGCCCATCTCCCCTCACCTCTGCCTTCTCTGGAGGGCTGTCCCAGGCATTTGTGCTGCCTTTCCCAGCTGGTCAGCTTTCTCCTTGTTCTCTGAGCCAGGAGTCCTTGCATGGTGGCACACTTGGCGTTAACTCTTCTGAGAGCCATGAATGACATGTCTTCACGCAGTTCGGGATCTGTTTCTCAAACATCTCTTCACAATATGCCACTTTTCTAACCTTTGATGAGTCCTTTCTGGGGGCACCATTAACATCATGTAGTTTAAATGGGGTGTTAATTTGTATAATTTGATTCAAATAACAATTCAAATTATTTTTGGGTTTTTAAATATGGGTTTATTTCAACCACAGGTTAGTACTTTTTCTATATAAAAACACAAGAATTATGTCACCACTTTGTTACCACTGAAATTATTATTCTCACTTGCTTTCAGTTGCTTAATTCTGAATGTATTGTAACTACAAAGCATGTTAAAATTCAAAAGCTATTAAGAAACCTCTCTGTTTAATTTATTAAAACTTTGAGAAATGAAGAGATCCATAAAAGACTTAGAATGCATACCAGTTGTTTAAAAGTCAATATGTTTAAAACAATTCCTTTATTAATAAGTATAAAAAACTAATCTTTAGCAAATTGCCAAGTCTTTTTAATCTACAAGGAATTTTTAACAATTTTAAAAGTTTTTTTTCTTTCAATTCAGAATGTAACAAAATTCAAATCTTTAACTCTTCCTCAAAATTTAGTAACACTTTTACTTAGTTTGGCTCTTCCATAGGTTTATTTACTTTAAAAGTAACACTGTAATGTTAACATCCAAATGAAATATTACTTTCAGAAAAGGAGGATGATTCTGTGCAAAGTTCAGAATCATTCATTTCCTTATATGGGAGTAAAGTCACTAAACTTGTGCTTTGGAGAGAAGCAAAATTTTTTCAGCTGCTTTCAGCTGGAAAATATGAGAACAGAATTCGCTGCTAGCTGCCAAGTTACTCTTCACCCACTGGAAAATATTGCTGGAAAGACTTGGGGGTTTCTTGGCTATCCAGATGATTTAGAATATATGTAACTTTCATTCATTTCCCTGCTTGCTGATTTGTTTAGATTCGTTTTGATATGTTACTTAAAGACCTACAAATTTCTGGAGCGATGAGCCCAGTAGGATGGTTAAGTGACAAACTGAAGAGTCTTGTGACCTGGTTCCCACCTCAGTTCTTTCTCTTCTTACTGTGTGCTTTGAACAACTTAGTTAATTTCTCCAGGCCTCAGTTTCCACATCTGTGAGTGGGGGTCACAGCAGGACCTACCTCACAAAAGTGGGTATAAGGCAGGCAGTAGAGTGCCTGGCACATAGCAGGGCCTCAGATTTTTAGGAAATCAAATATTTGCCTACATGTAGATTTAGCATTCTGGTGAGGTCTTGACATCAGAAGTCAAGTCCTGGCAAGCGTAAAAGCTTGGAAGAAGGTTCCGGTAAGGACCAGGACAAAAGCTTGGGTGAAGGTTCTGGGAAGAGCCAGAACAAGCCAGCGTGTGCCCCTGTCCATGTCCCAGCTGCTTGTGTGTGCTGACTTGTAGCTTGGGAGTGACCTCTCACACATCCCTTGGGGTGCCGGGTCGGAGGTCGTGTTGGTTCTGTCCCTCATGCTGAGTAAACCAGTGAGTCCCCAGGAGAGGAGAGGTCTGAGGCTTGCTCCACATGTGTGTATCTCAGGGGTCCTCCCAGCCAGCTCCCTGAGCCGTGGATTGCATTTCTCCATCTGTAAGGTAGAAGTGACATCTTCCTTTTAGAGGGATGGTGAGGACATGAGTCCTGTTAGCTAGGATTGCTGCTGTGAGGTACCTGAGGCAAAGGAGGGACTTTATAAAAATGAAAGCAGATGTTGGTGCTTATGGTGCCTACGGAGCTCAGAATTTGAAAGCACTTTGACAGTCTCTCATGCTCTCCCACTGTGACTGGCTTCCTCTGGTCCTCCTGTCCACATACCAAAGACGAGGCTGTCAGTGCCCCCGAGGGCACTGCCTTCCCTTCCCTTCCCTGCTTGCCGGGCCAGAGGCAGACCAGCCTGCCCTGGTGGGAAGCTTGCGGCTTTTGAATCGGGCTCCCAGGAGCTGACCCACAGCCCTGGGTTGGGGCAGCAGTGAGGTGGAGGGGCAGGGCTGTGCGGCTGGGTCCCCAGGAGTCCCCTGGACGGGAGTGGGACCCAGACATAGACCACACTGCAGTTCCAGGGGGCTTTGGGGACCAGGTGCTGGTCACCCCAGGTTGTCATTGTTTCTGGGCCTATTCTTGGGGAGAAGGGGTGGGCATGAGTTCATACTGATATTTGCAGTAAGTTTATGCTTCATTTCCCATACACTGAAAGACCTTAGTCCTTGAGAGGTTTTTTTACATTATTGCTTTTTAGTTTTGGTCTATCCAAAGGAATCTTGATTCTTCTACTTCATGTTTATTTATAACCATCCACTTCCCAAGGGATTTAGGCAGTTTTGTTACTCCAGCTGCTTGAATATTTGAGATCATGCAATTTCACTTAGCATTTCTCCTAAAAATATAAAGACAAGTAATTTTACTGTCGCAGTATCCATTTTGAAAGGAAAAGTAGTTTCTAATCAATTGTGTTCACCCATTTATATCCACTTAATGGAATTTTAGTCAACTATGTAGGAATTATTCTAAGATAAATACCCGCTACAAAAATGAACAAAAGAATGCAAATGTTGAATGAATGGATGAAACATGTTACACTAATATCAGGAAAATGCAAATTGAAACATTAGTGAAGTACCATTTTTTTAAACTGCCAGATGGACTGACTTTTAATACCTGGTTTTGGTGAGTGTGTAAACAAAGGACATTTCATACACTTGGTGGGAATATAAATTGGTAATTTTTTTAGGGCAATTAGGCAACATCTGTCAGCATAAAAAATGAGCATATGTCTTTGACCAAAACCTCCATTTTAAAAAAAATTGTAGTTGATATATAGTATTAGTTTCAGGTCTTCAATATAGTGATTTGACAATTATGTAAATTTGGAGTGTTTACCAGCTGTAACCATATAGTTACTATAGTATTGGCTGTATTCCCCACTCTGTGCTTTTCTTCCTGTGACTTACTTATTTTGTAACTGGAAGCCTGTACCTCTTGACCCCCTCTTCCTGTTTCACCCATGCCCCATGCTCCCTCTAGCAGCCCCCGGTCTTTTCTCTGTGTTTGTGAATCTGCTTCTCTTGTTGTGAGGCTTTCACGTTTTGAATGCTAGTCTCGTGCACGCATAACATGTAAGTAACAAAGATACTCACTGAACCATTACTTAAAATAAAAATTACACATTTTCTAAGTGCCTGTCAATAGGAGGATAGATATATAAATTTTTATATGACTTCACTGGAGAAAACTATGACATTATCAGGAAATAAAACAAAAACAAAGGCCTCCCTCCATGTACCAAGAAGGGACAGTGGCCTTGACGTTTTACTGAGTGATAATCGAGGTGCAGGGCAGCATTGTGTCCTAGTCCCTTCCACTTACAAAAAAGCAAATCCCTATGATTTGATCTGAAGATTAGAAATAATTTAATACTTAATATTATTGCCTTTTTTAAACCAGCGTTTAGAAGTTCATTGGACCGGACTGACGAATCTCCTTGATATTCCTGGACTGAAGTAAGTGTGTTGCATCCCGTGTGCACTGGTGGGGGTGGCGTGGCCGTCTTCAGTGTCATGAGACAACACAGAATAGTCGGTGTGCAGAATCCGTGCCCGCCCCGCAGGCTGTGAAGGAGCTGTGGTGAGGCTGCGCTGGCTCTGCCGCATCAGCAGCTCGGATGCTGCTGGGGTCCGGAGTAGTGGGGCCCTGGGGTCTACACTGAGTTGCTCGCACTCCCCTTTACTTTTTTTCATCACAAGGCATCTTTCCAGCTTTGGTGTTTTAGGAAAGTAACAGTCTTTTAACATCCTACAAGTTAATTTAAATTTGGTTTTTATTATTTTCCAGAAAAACAAAAAAACTTTAAAAAGCAAATGTTTCCAAGAAAAAGTTTCAAAACTAGGCCTTTTTGGGTTCTTTTCACTGGCCCTTCCCTTTCTGCCCTCTGTGCCTGTAGCCTCCCCTGTGTGGAGGGCAGGTGTAGGGGCAACCAGACCATGTAGGACCCAAGAGTCAGGGCAGTGAGAGACCCAAGGCTTCTGCATCACATCTGTTGGGGTCCCCTCATTGTTCTGTAGCAGCTGGTATCTCACACATGGGGAGAATTTCCCCTGGTAAGCGTATGGAACCATGAAGGGCACATCCCTGTGTGAGAGCAGCCAGGTCTTGTGGTTTGGTTCTGTCTGTCCGCCTCACCTGGCAGAGGGACCGTCTGCAACAGGTGTGCTATTTTTGTGTAATAAATATGTACATACATTCTTTTTTTTTAAGGTATTGATATACACTGTTATGAAGGTTTCACAAGAAAAACAATGTGGTTACTACATTCACCCTTATTATCGAGTCCCCCCTGTACCCCACTGCAATCACTGTCCATCAGTGTAGTAAGATGCCATGCAATCCCTACTTGTCTTCTCTTGTACATACATTCTTAACACAAATTTGGTCTCGCTCAGAGGCTTCTAGCAAATGAATCAGATATGGGGAACCCTATTATGAAAGCAAATATTCCTTTGGGAAATCTTGCCCCAAGCTTTATAAAATGAAGGTCCGCGTGCTGTGTTAAGGGTTATCAAGCATCTGTAATGCCTGAGTTGCTCCACTCCACCATGAGTTTTAGCTGTCCCCTGCTGCTTCCCATGAGAAGCCCCACATTGAGTGCTGAAGGCTTAAGAAGGGCTGAGGTGATGATGGAGACAGAAGTACAGTGACAAGCAGGGTGGCTCCCAGGGACAGAGAGGACCAGACACCACAGGAAGCTGTTCTGGCATGATGGAGCAGTGGCAGCAGGCGAAGACGGGGTCAGGACACCCCGTGGCCCCTATGAGCCCCTGGCGCCACATACCCAGGGTGGTGGCTGGCTTGCCTCCACAGCAGCTGAGGGATTCTTGAAAACATGTCATTAGCCAATGGGTTTCCGTTTGAACAGATTTTTCAATATAAGTAACACCACTGTTTTACGGGGATGCCGGAAGTAGGAATGTGCTTGGCATTAGACTGAAGGGCCACCTCTGCTCTGGGCACGTCCACTGAAGTGGAGATCCTCCGGCTTCTCCGGAGTGCTCATGTCTGTTTAGCTGCCTGTTCATAAGCAGAGTAGCATTGTCTATGGGGTTGTGGTTTATTTTATTTATGTATTTTTCCTGTCTTGAACTGGCAAGTCCTAAGATAAGGCCCTGTATGGTCCCTGTATTTGAACACCCAGCTTACGTAAGTGTTCAGTTATCACTCAGTGACTCAGTGATGGAGCCCTTCACTCTGTCCCAGTGGACATTTTTATGTGCACAGTTACTTTATGTGTGTTAACATGTTTAACGTCTGAGAACTACTGGCAAGAAGGTGGTTTTAAAACTTCGCGGTTGGGTTAGAGGTGTTCTTTGGTGCCCTGAAACTTCAGTCTGTGTGCTTTCCCATGTGTGGTCACTTACTTACACACTAAGTCCCCTGTTTGCCCCAAAGAATAGGCAGAAAATGTATTACAAGAGTGTTGTGTTCTCAGCCGCCGCAGTTTTATTCCTGTGCTGAGCTCTGTGCAGTGGCATGTGGTGTCTCAGAATCCAGTACCCAGTATCTCTTCAGTACCCAGATAAATGGGGGAGAGCGACTGAATGCTCCTTCACTGGGAACTGTGCATGTGTAACGAGAGGGCGATGTACTGTGATACAGGAGTAAGTGGATATCTGTTAGGATATTCTCTGCACATTTATGGATGTTTGGAATATTTTATGTGAAGAAATTTAGTGAATTGTTTCTTAGTTACTCAACATTAATCACTGATAAAGCTACGTAGGAGTGTATGCAGTGTTATTTAGGACATCAGGAAGTGTAGCCAGAATAGTACAGTTTGTTCCCAGGATAAATCCTGCCTCATGGTCACCACAGCTGAAGGATTGAGCTGCCAGGATAAACTGTGTGGGAGACATCAGACCCCTCTGCCCTGTGAATGGGTTGTTGTGTCACTCGGGAAGTTTACTGTTAGGGTGCAAGGTTGCTGTGTCTGACAGTTTGCTCTTTTTACCTCCTACTTGACAGTGGTTTATCCGATACTATCATTTTGGACATGATATCAAACTATCTGGTGCTTCCCAATCGGATCACTGTTCCTCTTATCAGCGAAGTTCAAATAGCTCAGTTGCGGTTTCCTATACCAAAGGTAAGGACGTCTTTAGCATCCTTCATGTACACAATAGATGTGCAGGAACCTTTCACCTGCATGGTGTTGTAACTTTTTGTTTTTCTCTCAGCCAGCAACCTTGCCACATGCATCTTGGTGCGGTAAAGGTAGTTGTCCTGCCGCACTCCTGGGAAGTTGGCTCATGTGCACCCAGTACCCAGAAGCTTTCAGAGACGCTGTGAGCCTTGGAGGTGCTAATAGGGCCTTGGTTCCGCAGCTGGACCTGTAGGTCCTGGGGGACAGCTGTAACAGCAAAGTCTCTGCCTCGCAAAGCACACTATTTGTATTTATCAAAATGTAACAGCTTAGTCTGACTGGTAGGGACTTTATTCAATGACCAGCATCCCTTTTGTCACACATGAGAACACAGTGATCTCGGGGTCATTTAACAGGTGACATGGTGGTGACATCTGTGTCCTATGGCTCCCTGGGGGCCTGAGTCACCCTGGGGTCAGCAGTGACCTCACCTCAGGGCATGTCGCCAGCATGTGTGGGCCTGTGTCCTCGTCTGTGAGCCAGGGCAATAGCTGGCACCGCAGTCACCATCACTGGAGTAAACTGAGTCACCTCATCCAGAGAGTGCGAGGACTGTGGGTCGGGTATAGAATTCCCTCTGCCGGCCTCAGAGGAAGGCTTGGAGCAAATGGGCCCCACTGGTCAGCGAGGGCCTCTCCAGCTGAGCTGCACCCCGCCCAGTGTGACTGGGGGCTCCAGAGTGGGACCCGCAGCTTATGTCACCAGGTTGGAAGGTGTTGAGCTGGTGCTTCCGTTTGCACCTGAGGTGGCCGTGCATGACCTCCCCCAGGCCTGTCGCTTTGCCAGGTAAATTAGGTGGACACAGTGCACAAGCCAGCAAACACCCACGAGCACTCTTGAATTTCTGAAAAGTGAAGTAATGCTCCAACTAGTTTTCGCCCAAATTAGTTATGCTCTTGGCATTCAGCACATTTAATTGGATGTTCCTATGAGAAAGGGATGTCTTTTCCCTTGAGCTGTGATGCTTATTTCTGAAAATCCAGGGATCCCTTCCCGCAGACAAGTCCTCACACACTTACAGCCTCCAGCCTCCAGTGCGGGGGGACACAGAGCTGCCCTGCCCAGGTTGGGTGTGAGCCATAAGCATGTCTCCAGATCATGGAACTTCAGACATGAAAATATAAGCAGGAAATTTGTGTTAAACATTTTAAAGTGTATTTATATGTAAAAGCATGTGTTGTGTACTGATTGGGTCAGGAATGTTACCCACTAATTTTTTCAAAAGGTTTGTAGGAGAGAATGCTACCTTGCTGAGAGGCAGGCAGCCTTACTGCCTTTGTTTGGCCATGAAAGAAATATGAGTGAATGTCTTTTATTTTACCAATTAAACAACATTTTAGGGAAAGAGAACTTGCTTAATGTCTATGAGTGGTACATATTCATAGATACTGTTATCTATAAAGTAGGTCTAATGGCAGCATTTCATGGGATTCTTCTAAAAATTGAATGAAGTAGTTGGTGCATATCAAGGGCTTAATATCGGGTCTGATAATATTAGTTGTCACTCACCGTGGTACCGAAACGTAGGCTTACTTGGTGACCTGTGAGGCCCTGCCTGTCCTGGCTCCGTGGGCTCCAGCAGCTGCACAGGATCTGGGCTGGGTGGCTGGAGGCCACAGGCCCCCATCCCCCTCCTCGGCTGTCAGTCTGACACCACCCTGTGCCTTCATCAGCTTCCCTAGCACAGCACCTGATGCCTCACAGACTTACACCCTTCTTCACTGCACAAGAAGGGCTCTTCCTTTTATTGGTCTGCACTGCGTTCTCATCACGCGACTGCTGGTCCATGTGTGTAACGAACATTGAACAGCCCCATGTTTGTTCTTTTCAGGGTGTTCTGAGGATACATTTCATTGAAGCTCAGGATCTTCAGGGCAAAGATACTTACCTTAAGGGGCTTGTCAAGGGAAAGTCAGACCCCTATGGAGTTATTCGTGTTGGCAACCAAATCTTCCAAAGCAAGGTCATCAAGGAGAACCTCAGTCCAAAGTGGAACGAGGTGTATGAGGTGAGTGGGCCCAATGGTGTCCTGGTGCATCCTGGGCCCCCAGCGTGTCTCATGGAGTGTGCCAGTGTACGCTGGAACTTCTGTCCCAACCTCACAACATTTCTTGTCATGCCGACATATAGAACATTAAACCTTAATCCCATAAAGCTCACAATAAATAATTGGCAAATTGTTTTTGATAATGTGAAAAATGTTTTAAGTCATTAATGACATATAAACGTGTACGAAATTAGATTAATTGTATACTGTTTTGTAAGTTTTCGCTTAATACATCTGGACATCTCCATGTCTATAAATATAGATGGACCTGATTTCTAATAGCCATTCACTAAATAGATACCATTGTTTCCTGCCCCAGGAGACCCCAGCTGTTCAGATCAGCGTTGTAACCTACGCTGTGCGAGTGTGGGGAGTGCCTTCTTCTCTTGGCCATTTTCCCCAGATAGGCCCCTCAGAGGGGAGTTGCTGCATCGAACAGTGTCCCCAGTTTGAGAAGAATGCCCCAGGGCAATGTGCCTGGAGTAGTTGGTGTGCTCACAGCCTGTCCTCGCCAGCTTACCCCCCGCCTGGGCCACCAACTCTCCTCATTTCCAAGTGATGGTAGGTGGGCCCTGTGGTTGGCCCAGGGGAACAATTGAAAGGGGGCCCTCAGAGCCCCAAGCCTGCAGCAGGCTTATGGCTGCCATCCTGTGACCTCATTCAGAAGTAATGGCACCTGCCCAGCGAGACGTGACCCCTGAGACCTGGGAGCAAGCACAGGGGACTCGCTGGGGCGGTGAGCTCAGAGCACGTCCTGGTCATGGAGCAGGCTGTGTGGCTTGGCAGTGAGAAATCAGGGTCTTTAAACTGCTCCCCACTGAGGAGGGTACACTCGTATTCACTGGAATCATCCTCAAGATGCAGCATTAGGGAAAATGAAATAACTGCTAATCATTGATTTTCCAGGCTTTAGTTTATGAACATCCGGGACAGGAATTAGAGATTGAACTCTTTGATGAAGACCCAGACAAGGATGACTTTCTGGGAAGGTAAATCCTTGGTAACTGTAAGGAAGCCTCTTTCTAATAATCACTCTTAAAACTGTAACAACTTCAAGAGGAGGTCTGTGTACACATTGTATGCATTTTTAAATGGTTCTTAGAAAGATTTCTTTCACCTTACACTTCTTGAAACATGTTTGTTTTTTCCCTAGGTACTTTAACATTTAAGTAAGAGAGGGAAGCTTCTACCTAGGTCTCTTTTGGTGGGTCACACCAGTCATGTAGCCATTTAAACTAAATTGACTAAAATGAAACAATTTGAAGTTCACTTTCTCAGGTGCACTTGCCCCACATCAGTGCTTGGGAGCTGCGTGCAACCCAAACACCAGTGTAGTTCTGGCCTTCACACTGAGGCAACTTTGCTCTGAGTGCAGGAAGGGGTTTTAAAGTTCTTCAATTTGCTGGGGCTTGGGAGTTGGGGGGTGGATGATAATTTACATTGTGCCTACACATTGGAAAAATATTGATCTGTTTACTTCATTGAACAACTATACTGCTGAAGAGAATGAGCTTATAAAAAATACACTTTAAGCTAATCTCTATTATTTAATGATTCTTCCTGGCAAAAAGATACAGAGTAGATGACATTGGACAGGTTTGACCTCATCGAGAATGGCCTGTAGGTTATGTGTGACTCGAGAATTCATGAGAAAGCTTTGCAAGGAGCAACCAGAAGATTGTAAGATGGTAAGCAGGGCAGTGAGCAGAGAGGGGCGCATTCTAGGGGACCATGTGTGGCCAGGTGACCTGCATGGGGCCTGGAGCCTGCTCTCACAGACCAGGAGAGGGTGTGAGGGTCTGACCTGAGACAAGCCCCTGGGAGCTACAGGAAGCAACAGGAGTGGGATCATCTGGTCCTTTCTGTGTAGTTACTTTATGTATGTATGTTAACAGTTTTAACATCTGAGAAGTACTGGCAAGAATTAAGTTTTAAAGCTTCACAGTTGGGTTTAGAGGTGTTCTTTGGTGCCATGAAACTTTGCACATGTGTGCTTTCCCATGTGCACCCGTTTGCCCCAAAGAATAGGCAGAAAATATATTAAAAGTACATTTGTGTTCTTAGCTCACCTCTGAGCTTCTGGGCAGGGGTGGGAGGAGCATTTTTTGCAAGAAAGTAGGATTATTTAGGGAAAACGGAGTGGGCTGTCTGAGAAATGCTGAGCAAGAGGCCGCTATGGGACTTAGATACTGGCCTCAAGCTGAGGGCAGAGTAGAGCTGGGGCTGGGGTGCCAGCACCCCAGGTGCTGAGCCACGGTGCTGGGACATGTCCAGCAGGAGGGCAGAATATCCATGATCACGTCAGGCACATCGTAAGTAGCTGCATTGTAAGCAGCTGGGAGGACCAGACCAGGTTTTATACTCAGCCTCAGCTTTGCCAAGCCCAGAAGCGCGCTGCTCTCCTCACCTCCTCCACTCCTGGCTCTGAACTCCGGGAAGCCTTTCAAGAAGTCTTTCTGGATAAACTAGCATTTTGTTGCAGTTCTGGAGTACTTTTCATAGACATGCTTGAGATTGTTTCAGTTGTAAGAAGTGTGTCCCTGTATTCTAAAGTTGTTGTGTTGTTTCTGTAGTCTCATGATTGATCTCGTTGAAGTTGAAAAGGAGCGCCTTTTAGATGAAGTAAGTCTTTTTGGAGTTTTCTACTATTCAGCTGTGTGCCTGCCCTGCCTGCCCACATGACCTTCTGAGAATTTAACACTTGTCTCCCACATATTGAGAACGTAGGCCTTTTCATAATAGCAAAGCAAGAGAGAGAAGTTTAAGAGCCTAATAAGTATGTATTGACTACCTACCATGTGCTAGGAATTCATAAGGGTACAGGGCAGGGACCCACAAGAAGCAGCTCTAGTTAGCATTTAAACAGCTGGACTTCATACATTGCCCAGCGGATGAGAAACTGTTCCATGAACAGCACCTGTAATGCAGTGGGGCTGACAGCAAGCGGACAGCAAGCAATGCACAGGGCATTGCTACCAAAGTATGAGGCTCAGGTAGGAGACATTAAGCCCCAGCTCAGGGTGGTCTTAACCCAGAGTGCGTGGGGGCTGTCTTTGTTCATTATTTTGTGGTTTTTAAGCTGAAACAATGGTATACTATTTTTTAGTTAACATAATGATGAATAAAAGCAACATGTTTGCTTGTTTGAAAATTGAAATCTGGTATTTGGGACCCGTGTGGTGTTATCTCTTGGCGCCTAAGTTCTGTTAAAACCCTTAACGTTGAAGCCAGCATTGGGTGGCACTAGCAGACACCCAAATCGTGTGCGGGTAGGGATGAACATCATTTCCCTTGCAGGCGTCTGGTTAGGATTCAGTAGATTAATGTACATGAAGCAGTCAGAATGGTCCCTGACCAGCAGGTTCACAGACCCAGGGCCCAGCCGTGCCGTACAGGTCACCAGGGCCGCCCGCTCACTCAGACAAGAGCGGAGGCCCCACTTTTGGCGCTGACCGAGGACTGGTGCTGTGGCCGGCAGTCGGCTGTCACGTTTGCAGGCCGACTCAGGAGGACTCTGCTGACCTGCCCCTTTCTCCGCAGTGGTTCGCCCTGGACGAGGTCCCCAGGGGAAAGCTTCACTTGAGGCTGCAGTGGCTCACGCTGGTCCCGGATGCATCCAGTCTGGACAAGGTGTGTGCACCGCTCTCCCGACACAGCAGCCGCTGCCGGGGGCTGAGATCACTGTCTTTCACTTGAGTTGCTGCTCCACTAAAAAATTACAGCAGTGTTTTGATTATTATACCATGTCACTACAGTAGCAGGAGGGATAAATTGAAGATAATGGAATTTTTATTTTAAAGAGACACTCAGGTCATTCACACCTGTCTTACAAGATCTTCAAGTTTTGCTGTGCTTGATATGCCGTGCTCCAAAACCGGATTTGGAGAGCCAGCGGTTGCCTACATGCTTCATTTAATCGGTTTTTATAGAATTTTGTCTTTTGAAAGATACTTAATGTTTTCATCCTCCCTGTGGTGCATATATGGAAAGGCTTGTTTCTCTACTTCCCTTGCTTCCCTGGGCAGTACAGACAATCAGGTGGAGAGAGTCTGACACCACGTGGAAGCACACCTGCTGAGGCTTCTCCCCTCCCTTGCAGGTGCTGGCAGACATCAGAGCTGACAAAGACCAGGCCAGTGATGGTCTCTCCTCCTCCTTGCTGATCTTGTATTTGGATTCGGCGAAGAACCTTCCAGTAAGTAGCACCCTGGGTTGTGCTGGGTGCCCGCCAACTGGTGGCAGATCCCACCGTACTCAACTGCACTGTGTCACCTGTTTCTGTTGCGGTTTTCACTTCATTCCAGCCTGAGGGCAGCAGTGGACAGGGACACGTGTGTACTTAGTGTGGTCTGGGACTCATATGTATCTTCTGTAAGGGGTGCTTATGCATCTTACTAATTTCTCCAGGATGCTCAGAATTATCTGTACTATGGCATGTTTTGCAAAGAAATCTCCAATACACAAGGAAGGGGTATGCCTAGCATTTAGAGAAGAAGGTACTCTATAGAAAGTCACTGATCGTTAAATGCAGTTGCCTAAGGACAGAAACTGTCTCAGGCTCAGGAATGAAGTGAAGCAGCTCTGGTGACAGGCCAGAGTCCATCCTGGATGTAGCATGGCTCCCGGGATGGCAGGAAGCAAAAGGACACACACGCTGCCCCTGAGCCCCTGTCGCTCACACGGCCCTCAGCCCAGAGCGTTTGCACCAGAGCTCTTCTGCTCTTAGAAAAAGCTGCAACGCGCAGCTCGTGCAGATGATGACCATAACCGCAGGGAAGAAAAGCTCCCTGCTCCTGTCCTGTGCAGCCTGCTGTGACCCCGCTCTTTGGGCGAAGCAGCCATGGGTATTGTGTTGGGATGGGTTTTGAGTGCCTGCCACGCATTCAGTAGTGCACCCTTCCTGCCTTACTTCTGCGTGTCAAAGGCCAATTTTCTTGAAAGAAAGACTACTGCTACCAGATGCAGGGTGTCTTCCCCTCGTGGTGGTAGTGAGTGCTCGTCTTTGGGGACAGTCCCTGTGTCCTCTCCCTTCGCTGCCCCCATGAGCACAGAGCATCTTGCTGGCACTTGGTGCTTCCGCATCCAAGTGTTTCGTGTTGGGTTCAGCCAGGCCTCACCTGACTGTAGCTGGGCTGTTGTGTATTCCGTGAAATACACACCCCAGTGATAGTGCCTTCCAGGGTTTTAAAATTGTGCATGACTGGGCTTTGCTCAAAAGCAAAGTAAATATACTTTGTACATTTGTACATTTTATTTAAAGTTTTTACAATTAAAACCCGATCAATTATCTTTTCATCCTGGAAAGATGTGGTTGGACCCCATGTGATTGTATATAGACATACTGTTCCTTTCAGTGAAACTTTCTTGACTAGTTTTAACTTAATTAAATTCTTAATTTTTCTTAAAGTATTACCTTAGCCTTTTGGCCATTCTTCCAATCTGAAGTCTGTGACTATTTCTGTTAAAATGTCAATTTGGGGAAAGATGTTTTGGGGGGGGGAGTTCATTATTGTTTAACCTTTCTACAAATTTCTTATACAGTAGAACCTTCTGTTTTTAACCACAATAATGTTTGCTCTAGAGTCTTTATAATGCGTTATGGAAGTGAATTTGTTGAACATTTTATTGGCAAGAAAGGATTAGGCATCTCCTTAGAACTGTGTTGTCACATTACATTGAAATTTGAGTTATGTCATGTAAGCAAAAAGAGAAAAACTGAGTTATTTGCCTCTATTGAAAGGTCACTGTGCATGACCTGTGCTCTGGTTGCCAGAGACAAAGGGTCCTCACTAAACCGCTGCCCTGCCGGGTGTCTCAGACGGGCACGCCTGCCATCCCCACCACCTGCGCCTGTGTGGGACCCTCTGTCTTTCGCACCCCTGTTTATTAGAGCTTCTGTGCGTTCATTGACCATAACCCACCATTCTTTGCTTTCTCCTCCCATTTCCACTTTCCTAAGAGTAATACGAGGGAAACTTTGGGTGTGGCTACTTAAAAGCGAGGCGAGCGTTGGGACTAGTATTTTGTGAAAATACTGCCTCAGTCTATAGAGCACTGTTTGTGAGTTATCCAGCGTTGCTCTTCCTGTGTGGTAATGGAGACTGCTGGAACGTGGACTGGGACTTCTAACCACCCCCTCGACAGTGAATGACGAGGCATGCCTCCTGACCCCCGCACAACCCCAGTCACCGTGTGGTCCCATTTGTGCCTGTTCTGTGACTGTGACACCACTATGGCCGATGTTGGTGGTCACGTCTGACAGTGAGATGAACACACCTAGTGAGTCACAAAGAAGCCTTGGTTCCAGAACTGCTGCTGGCCTGTAGAAAGATAAAAAGAGAAATTCTGAGGAAAAATGAAACCATAATGATTGAAATTGATTTCTTCGGGGTTCATCTCAATGTGAGATGTGAATATTTCGCTGCAAGCTTTCAAAAAACTTCCGTGATCTACATTCTCCTCCTGACCAGACACAGAAGTGTCAGGGCTTCGCTTTGATTGAAGTCCTAGCTCTTCCCCTGGGGAAGTGAGGGCGGAAACCCCGTTACTCTGAGGATCTGCCTTCCCCCTCACTGCTTAACCAGCCCTCCTCAGGGAGAAAAAACATGGAGTTTACTGCTCAGTTCCTCTAAGGAGCCTAAAGATTCCCTGGAGGGGGCTGTTGAGCGTTTCTAACCTGTATTGGGAAAGCTCATTTTGACCTCTTGTGTGTCCCTGGGGCCTTGTTCTGGGTACTGTTACTGTGCTTTTAGCAGATAGATAATCACTCTGGGGTTAGAGGAAGCTCAGTGGTTGGTTAGAAAGTCATGCTTCCTAGACTAATGAATCATGTGACTCAATAACTAGTGAGGTTCTTAAAGCTCACTTGGCCCTTGAGTCCAATAGTGGTGGCACTTTGCATTTCTGAGTAGTGTTCATTTCTACTTTGACACATATTCTTAGTCTACCCCTATTAAAAGTAGAAAGGGCAGCAAATCTTGAAGAACAGGTGTTTTGCCCCATTTCGTAGATAAGACAGTCAAGGCCCTGCAGGGCTGGGGAGCCATGTGTCACACCAGCAGGCGGTGGTGACCATCGTCTTCACTGCCCTCCAGCACCTGTTTATGGCCTTTTTAAGACAAAATGAGGTCTGTGTGCATATTGGCAGACTTTTCTATCACTAAAATGATGTTTTATTTTGGGTATTTCTCAATACATAATTGCATTATAAGCTGCTCTGAGTGACAGTGTGACTGGTACATACACTGTTAGTTGTCTCCAGTATCAGAGAAGCAAGGTTACTTTTTTTGCATTCTGTAACTATTCCTTTTAGAGGAAATATTTCTGACCTTGTGTCAGTATTTTTAAAATTGCTTTGTAATACTTAGCTAAGACAATGCTGGGTTACCAGAACTTCCACATTATCAAAATCACATACTTGCCTACTCACATGTAGGCATCAGCAAAACATTCTGTAAAATAAATTTGAACAGGTCAATTGCCCTTTTTTTCCCCATCGGTTTTCACTATGAAGTTAGATCACTGCTTTCTCTACGTCCTCCAAAGACTGAGACCATTCTCTTTCTAGAGAGGGTTTTGGACACTGCCAACCCATTGCTCTTTTAACCTCTGCCCACTCAGAACTGTGTTTCCAGCCTGAGTGCATTCCCACCAGTGAACGCTTAGCACCGCAGGACTTGCTCCCGTCCTGGAATTGGCCTCTTTGTATTGTAGACTCAGCATCTGCACTCCTCTCGATCAAGTCCTAGGCTTGCGTTTCAGACTGGAGCACTGAGGGTGTCCTCTGTGGTCCCAGTGGCCAGCTTTACAATTTTAGGCTTACAAGATAGCATGGATTTGCTAAGCACTGTCTGAGGGCTCTGCTTACACAGCCCCTTCAGTCTCTGCCGTCATGATCACTTTTCAGGTAAGGAAACAGCAGAGCTTGCGGGTGCAGAGTAGAGACCCAGGCTTTGCTAGTCAAGTAGCAGAGCTGGGATTGGAGCTCAGCTGTGTGACCCAGAGTCCACATCCTCACCCTTCCTGTCTACTCCCTCCTAGCGTAAAGTGAGTTTATTATTGCTGCATTAAGTTTGTAAGTTCAGAACGCTGTGTGTGGCGCTTCTCTGAGGTGCGTGGTGTTCATGCTAATGCCTGCCTGTCCACGAAGGGACTGGTTGTGTAATATGAAGACCCTTCTGTGTGAGGGTGCCAGGTGAGGCAGACGCTCAGGTGGCTGTCACTGCCTCCATTTGTGGTGAGTGGCCTGCGGGTGGAAAGTGCAGCAGTGCCTGAGGCTTCATGCTGACCCTGCCAGCACTCCTGGGGGACACAGCCTGTGCATGCTGGGCCTGTGCAGCGCTCCTTGGCCTCACGTGCTCATCTTGCACCCCTGACCCCACACGTGGCTTCTGCCCTCCTTTTGCTTTGACTGATGCATGTTAGAATATCACGTACGTTCACTACACGTCACATCTACCCAAACTGAGCTTTAGGAAGTGTTCCTGTGACAGGTGAAGGTTCTCAGCCTCACCTGCCCAGGCCCCCCGATACAGGTGTGGTGGGCCCAGTGTTCCAGACCTGGGCTGCTGCGGGGGTAGCCCGGGCCGAGCACCAGTGTTAACACCAAGTTAATTCCTTGTGCCAGACGCTTGACCTTACCTTCCATGACCCTGGCAGGCATGAAGGCCGCTGTCCACCTACTTCATTATAAAATATCCTGCTAAACAATAACGAAATACAACACAGTTTGTCATTTGAAGTTAATTACAACTAAAACGATAAAATCCTTCATCTTAAATGTTAGTACTTGAAGGCGTTTGCAAAGTTTTAAAAATCAACAAAAATAGGGCCTATAGGCCATAGCAGTAGAACTTTAAAGCCAGGAGGACCTTTTGAAATTGTCTTTTCAGCTTCTGCATTTTGTACTTGAGAAAGAACTGGGGGCAGGGTGGGGAAGGCCCATGCCTGCAGCAGTTTTTCATGAAGAGTGCAGACTTCAGCTGGGGGGAAAGTAGTGCCTGCTTCAGGACAGGGTCTGCCTGGAGAGCCATGCGGGCGCCTGTGGCCCTTTCCTTTGTACTCCGGATAAAACTTTAGTGTGATATGGTGGATGTTTTAAAGGCTTATTCAAGCAAAGAAGAGCAGATAGAAACCTTCCTTGAAGTGTCATGCGTGGGTTTTTTAAATCCCGAAATGGTGAGAGAGTAAGAGAAGAAATTGTAGAGGAAAACCAGATGTGTCGTGTTCATAGGTTAGTAGTTCATCTCATGAAACGCCTTGGGCGTAAGAAGAATTTTACAAATGATTGTCATTTTTTTGTGTAATTCTGGTGGTTTTCCTTTAAAGATGTTTTGTTTGTTTTCATCGATTTTCATGTCATTAACCTACGTGGACGCCTCATTGCATGTTTTATTAACCCTTGGTATATTCATTTTCTTCTGACTTGAAAGAGTAACCCATTAGAATTTAATCCTGATGTCTTGAAGAAGGCTGCAGTTCAGAAAACTTTAAAGGTAAACTAATAGTTTCCCTTCAAAAAAGTTAATTAAAACATATTGAAAGAGATGATGCTTTGGTGCTCATGGGTTTGTCAACGAACTGCCCCTCATAGTCACAGAGTCAGCAGTATCTGCTTGGAGAGAGCCTACTTTTGTTACCCACGAATTCATACATAGAAGAATTTAAGTCAACTTTGAAGATAAATTTTCTAAGACACAGTATGATATATTATACTTCTGTCCTGTTGGCCTTAGGCAGCAATATCTAAGGTCATTCTGCATCATCTATATTTTAATTGGATTTGAGTTTGTGAAAATGGCGAAATAGAAGTTGTACTTAAAATATTAATCAATTTTTAGGTGATAATTTCAAGGCATGCCTTGTGTACTGTGACTACCCATTTAAAAATCACCTCTTCCAATATACTGAGTCAGGGCCATGTCTGAGTCAGTGACTCCTGGCTTTTGATGCTGCTGGGTGTGGGTGACTAGCCTTAAGTTTCATTAAATGAGGTAAATTGGAAACTAAGCCCCACTCCCTAAAATGACATGACCATGTTTTTTCTGGCTAAATTGTTAAAAGTTTTCTATGAATTACAATGCTGTATTATTTTTTCTCTGATTTCATTTAATATCTTAGGCTTAAATATTGGGGGCAGGGGAGATTTTAAATTGTCTTAAAAAAATTTTATCCAAAAGAGTCAGGATGGTTTTTTTTAATCTGGTTCATGTAGAAAAACAAGTTAAATTTCAAAAATGAAGAGCAGTTGTTGCCACGTCCATCCCCCAAAACATTGGAAGGAGCTCTGTCAGCAGTCTCCTCTCCCTCTCTGATATCTGGGGCTCACTGAGCAGCGCACTGTGATGAGTAGAACACAGGCTCTGAAATCAGACGGCCTGCATGTGAATCAGCAGAACTCACCAGTGTGACCCACTTGACACAGCACAACATTCAATCCCTATTGATAGCATGGAGGCGATACAATCCTAATTGGAGTATAGAGTAAATTAAGTAAGATCATAGGATAATATGTGTATTTTAGTTGTTACATTATCTCATTTATGTTTAATAACAAAGTTCTGGAAATGGCATTATGCCCATTTTATACACATGAAAATGGAAGTTCAGACAATGGAATGTCAAGTCTTGTCATCAGTGGTAAAGAGCTAAGCTTTAAATACAAGACAGACTGACTTAAAAGCTCATACTCTCATTATACCTTGGGTCTCTGACATGTGCTGATGATGCATTTTGAATATCACATCATGGTAGAAAACGCAGTGATTTAACTGTTTCATAGAATCTAAAGTGTCATCCACTGTAAGATCCACCATTATCTTCTGTACCATCAAAAAAGAAAAAAAGTTATCAGTTAAGGTTTATTTTATACTTTGAAAGAATTTCTAGACCTTGGACACATTGTATGGCACCCACACATGCACACACAGGAGAATGTCGGCAAAACAGGTGGTTTAAGGCAGAGACACTCTGGCACTACTGCCCTCTACCCGAGGGCAGGCACACACAGTCATCCTGGAGTATCACCCTGTTTCCATAGGTGGTGGAAAGTGAAAAAAAAAGTGTGTCTTAAAATTGAGAAGATAGAGTAAATCTCTAGGAATGAATGGCTACTTTTTCAGAGATGACGTCTTAACAGTCAGCCTCTGTACCAAACTCAAAAGTACAAGTTTAAGCAAGTGGCTATCTGTACCCCTCTAGTACTGATCCTTACCGATTCGGTACTAATTCTGCCTGCGGCTCCACAATGAGAACCCCTCCTCGAAGACCCAGCTGTGACTCGGCCTCACTCTAAGTACAGGGAGGCCCTTTGTTTGAAGGGGTGGTGCTCAGAGGAAACTTCAGGCTTCTAGTATAAACAAAGGAGAAAATATTTAGGGGAAGATGAGCATTCTCTGCTACAGAAGTCTATATAGCCTTGGGTATTTTTTAACAGTATTTACTTCATTTTGCAGAGTTCATTCACATCAAAAGCAGAAACCAGACAGTAGACTACCACAGTTTGTTTGAGCTAGTGTGTTTTATTCCAATAGTCATATGAATTTGACACCTTTTTCTGTCATTGCTGCAGTGTTGAGGATTGATTCTAAGAATTTTCAACTAAAAACATTTTTTGTGGCCTTCCAATTAATTTCCACCAACATATGTATTTAATTGCATCTTCTTGTGGGGCTGAGTTATAAATAAACCTCATATCCCATTATGTTGTTTTCTTTTGTCAGCTGTCTGTGCTAAAGTATGCTTTTTATCACGTTTTCTTATTCCTGATTTTTCTCATTATATTTATATCTGCTTCATTTAATGCACTTCTAGATTGATGTTTATTCTTCCAGTCAAAATTACTTAGCAGCTGGTAAGCAAGATATCTGATAGCTACATATTTGAACAGAAGGTACTAAGTTAAAAATGTTACATTGTGTCTCTGACACTTTGTAGTGTTTTTATTATTGCAACCAGGGGACTGTTTTGTTCTAATGGAAGTACAGTTGACATGTAGCAGTGCATCAGTTTCAGGGGTACACCATGGTGATTCGCCAGTTAGACACATCATGAAATGTTCGTCATGCTGACTGCAGTCCCACGTGTCACCACACAGTCACTGCAATAGTATTGACTAAATTCCTATGCTGTGCATTATAGCCCCGTGACTGACTGACTTTATGATTCAAAGTCTGAACCTCTTGGTCCCAGGGGACTTTTCTGAAGTATTCACTCTTTACATTTGTCCTTTCTCATATTTTTCTGTTTCCATTTACTGCACTTTATTCATTTTGTTATCCTAGTAAGAAGTTTGAAAGCTGGAATTCACATTGAAATTTTTCAGAAGATTTCCATTTGTCCAGAGTAGCTTGCTTTAAAAAAAAAAAGACATTAACATTTTTAAATTGTGTGCAAAAACCAGCTTTCTTAATTTACTTTATGGTAGACACAGTTATGGCTTTGGGATATGCTTAACAGTTGTTTCCAGTTAAAGTGTTCCCGGATGTCCCCTGTAACTGAAGTAGCAGAAGTCAGTAGAAGTGACTGTTACTGAAGGATAATAACTGCATTTTTTGTGAGCCCCATTTCAGGTGTATGTTTCTTATTGTGTCTTTTTGTCTTTGGACAGTCAGGGAAGAAAATGAACAGCAGTCCAAACCCTGTTGTCCAGATGTCAGTCGGGCACAAGGCCCAGGAGAGCAAGGTAAGATGCCAGCGTGCCGACACGCTTTGGATGGCGCCACCATCTCAGGTGGGACTGTTGCCAGGGTTGGAGGGAAGGGGGTGCAGGGGTCCAGCCACTGATGTATCTTTCTTTTATTTTCTCTAATCAGTAATTTCATAGACAACCAGTTACTTAATTTGGGGAAAAATATATTGTTCATTTTTTAAAATAACATTAAAAATGGCTTATGAATATGCTTTTGCTTTATTTCATGGGTAGGTGACATGGGATCAATTTCTAAGTTTCCTTTGAATGTTCTGTAAATATTTTGTTTAAAAGACAACCACCAGTGCTTCAAATTCAACAAATACAAATTATATTCAAGAATTGAATAAAATACATTAATTTAGAATAAAATTGAATAAGAGGTCTTGTTGGTGCTGTGGTACGTTCTGCTCTCCCACCATGGGAGGAAACGTTTTGGGAACTACGTAAAGCTACAGGCTGTTCTCTTTGAACCCGGCGGGAGCTTCCTACCTTGCAGCACTGCATGGCCCCGGGGCACAGCAGAACAGAGCCTAGCCTGGGGCAGGCTTTGGAGGTGGGTGGGGGTAGGTGGTGGGTCACCGGTGGGTTCCGTAACAGCCGATTTCCTGACACAGTATGCTTTGGCATGTCTCTCCACAGTATGCAACAGAACTTGCTCAGTAAATGTATGTCTTGGACTTTAATTAAAGTCGTCCTAAGCTTCCAAGCACAGTAAATGGATAAACAGTACTGGCCGCCCTTTTCCACAGAAAATACCACAGAGCTGACATTTGAATATTTCTTCCAGATTCGGTACAAAACCAGTGAACCTGTGTGGGAGGAAAGCTTCACTTTCTTTGTTCACAATCCCAGGCGCCAGGACCTTGAAGTTGAGGTATTATATTTGCGTTTTGTAATAGATTTGTTGAGAAAAAACCACATACAAAGAACTGCACGTAAAGCAGCCAGTATACAGACCCATCACCAGAATCAGTACATCTTTGTCAAACTTATCCCAGAGTATTTCATACTTTCTGATACTGTAAATTTTAAAAATTTGTATCTTTCATTGATTGCTACTAATATCTAGAAATGCAACTGAATTTTGTATGTTGACATCAGATTGTAAACTCTGTAAACTTACTGGTTCTTGTAGCTCTTGATGGTTCCTTTGGAATGTCTTCTGCCTGGCCCCCCGTTTCTGCACAGAATGGCACTTGGAGTCTGACGACTTGTACTCCATTGCCACCTACCCAAGCCCCTGGCCTTTGGCTCTGATGTTTCACTCTCATGTTACACCATGAAGCTGATGCTTGAGAACTTTTCTTCTGCTCCAAGTGCTAGTTTGCTGAGTGCTTTTGTCATGATTGGATGTTGATTTTCTCAGAAGGCTTCTGCAACTATTGAGATAATGATACAGTTTTTCTTTTTAAGTTTATAATTATGGTGAAATACATTGTCTATTCTCAGATGTTAAACCTTGCAAACTTCATTTGGTTTTCAAGACCTAACATGAGAAAACCTAGCAAGCAAACATTTATTTGGAGAGAACCCACACTTAGTCATGAGGTTGTACCTTTTTATGTGTTCAATTTAATTTGCTAAAATTTTGTTAAGAATTTTTGCATTTTAGCCATAAAGGGTACTTGATCTGTAATCTGTTTGCTTGTAGTCCCTTCTCCTGGTTTATATACCAGGCAGTGCAAGCCTCACGGGATGAGTGGGGAGTGTCCCCTTCATTGTCTAGGAGAGTCTGTATGGAACTGGGTGGGTTTTGCTCACATGCTTCTCTGGAGAATTCACCAGCAAAGCCTTCTGGGCCTCCTGTGGTTTTCTTTGTAAGAAGGTATTTAAATACAAATTCAGTGCCATTAGTAGGTACTGATCTATCCAGGTTAACTGTTCTTCTTGATGATTTTTGGTATTTATGTCTTTCAAGCAGTTTATCTACATTACTGCATTTTTTAAAACGCACGGTCCTCGGTACTCCTTAGTGTCCTGGAAAGGTAGAGGCCTCCTCTCTTGCTTCTGAGGGAGTATGGCCTCTTCTTTTCCTGACCAGTCTGGCGAGAGATAAAACTGGTGAGAGGTTTATCAATTTTATTTTCTTAAGAACCAGCTTCTAGTTTCATTGATAGTCATTGTCCTTCTCTGTTTACTTCCTCACCGATTTCTCCTCTGATCGTCATTATCTCCTTTCTTCTGCTCCCTTTGGGTTCCATTTGCTTCTGTTTTCCTAGCTTTTGAAGGTGGAGGCTGGATGTGAGCCCTTCTCTGACGAGCTGGGCATCTGGCTGACGGGGTCTTGAGAGCTGCCGCGGCTGCATCCCACACATGCCGATTCCATGTAGCTGCTTTTTCAGTCTTCTCAAAATACTTAATGATTCCCCTTTTAGTTTCCTCCTTTGACTCGTGGGTTACTAAAGATCTGTTAGTTTCCAGGTGTTTGGGGATTTTTCTTCCTATTGTTCATTCTAGCTGAATTCCACAGTGGTCAGATTACATCCTCTGTATGACTTGAATGTTAAGCCTGGAGGCTGGTCGCCCAGAGGACGGCCTCTCGGTGCGCGCTCCGTGTGCCCGGGGAAGCCTGCTGCTCCTGGGTGGGCATTGCGTTCCACGAATGCCATCGAGGCCAAGGCCAAGATCGCTTGACCCTGCTGCTCAAAGTCTCTGTGTCCTCACCGTTTTCTGTCTCCTTGTTACGTCAGTCACTGAGAGTGTGGTGTCTAAGGCTTTAGCTTTAAGACTGAATCTGTCTGTTTCTTCCTCTCAGGCCTCAGTTCTTGTTTCATGTACTTTGGCCGCTGTTACTAAGCACATAAACCCCTAGGGCTGTTCTGCTTGCCCACCAATGAGCCGTTCCCTTTATCATGTAAAAGCCTCTTGTCAAGATACTCTCAGCTCTGTGATCTACTCTGATATTAATATATATATTAATTAATATATTAATGACCTTTCTTGTGATTGGAGTTAGCACAGCTTATTTTTCCCATCCTATTGCTTTCAACTATTTGTAACTTTAGAATTAAACTAGGTCCTTACAGACAGCATACAGTTAAGTCTTCCTTGTTCATCTTATCTGCAGTCTCTTCCTTTGCATTTTGGCATCTAGTTCATTCCCATGTGCTGTTATTGTTGATGGGTGGTGGCAAATCTGCCAATGTGTTATTTGTCCCATTTATTCTTTATTCCGTTTTTCTCTTTTTTTAATCTGATGTCTCTTGGGTGAATTGAGCACTTTTATAATTCATTTTATCACCTTTTTTGCCTTATTCGCTATACCTCCTTGTTTTGTTTTTATTTTTTTTAGGGGTTGCTCTAGAGTTTATGGTACTCATTTTTACCTTAAGTAGTAAGCCAGGTCTCAGAGAGTACTAGAACCTTCTGTGACTTACTTCTGCCATTTCCTCTCTTCCAGACTTTGTGCTGTGGTCCTGTTTTACTTATGCATGTGTGTTTAACCCTACAACACATTTTGTTATTTTTGTTTTAAGCAGGCAGTTGTTTTTAAAGAGCTTAGAAGAAACAAAGCAGTCTTTCCAATTTTGCCACACATTGTCCCTTTGCAGTGTTCTTCCCTCCATGGCATGGATCCCAAGTTCCTCGTCATGTGATTTTCCCTTGCCTGTAGGTCTTTATCAGTTCCTGTGGGTCTGTTCTGTTGGTGATGAATTCTTTCAGCTTTTGTATGTCTGAAAAAGTCTCTTTCACCTTCATTTTTGAAACATATTTTCACAAGATACAAATTTTTTGGCTAACGGTTTTTTTTTCTTCCACTTTCTTCCATCTTGCATTGTTTCTGATGAGAAGTCTGCTGTTGTTAAGTTTGGGAAACTTCTGGCCTCTGCTTCCTCACATTTTCCCCTCTTTACGTGTCTAATGTGCTACCAACCCCATACTGTGATCTTTCATCTCAGAAGTAGGATCTGGATCATTCTCCCGAGTCTTTCCCCCACACGCTCATGTGTGCTCGTGTGTCTGACAGCTTTTAGCACCCTCTCACCAGTTCTGTCATCTGTGTAACTGCTGGATCTGCTTCTGTATGTGAGTTTTACCCTCATTAGGAGTCACATAGTCCTGTTTCTTTGGTTGCCTGATAATTTTTCATTGTAATTTTATATTCCAGAATATTGGGATTTTTGTATTCCTAAGTATTTTGGAGATTTGTTCTTATTAGCAGTTGAGTTATTTGGATATATTCTGAGCCTTTTGAGGCCTGAGCTAAACTTCACTGGGCAGGCCTGACAGCTAGTCCTGCAGCCTGTGGCCTCACTAGTCTGATGCTCTGGGTGTTAAGAAATTTCTGCCCTCTGTTTGGAAAGGATACTGCCTGCTGTCCTTAGTGCCCTGGGACTTGTCCTTACTCCTCCTGGAGCACCTTCCCTGGCCTTGAGTGGTCTGTTCCTGCACACATCTGAGCAGCTGCAGACACTCGCCAGGGCCTTCGGTGCTCTCTATGGGGCTCCTCCACACTGGGGGACCACTGGCCTCTGTCTGGGGCCCTAGTACTGGCCATAGCCTGAACTCTCCCAGCCAGTGCCACACCAGTGGTGGAGCTCCCCCACTTGCTCCTGCATCCTGTGTCCAGTTCCCTTTGCTATCCAGTCGGAGACCTCTCATCTCATGTCTGCTGGGTGTTTTTAAGCTAATGTAGGATGATAAATTCATTTCCTGTTACCTGGTCATAGCCAGAGCAGAAGTCCTCTGCATGTTTTAAAATACGATGTATATAAGTCACCTCCTTAGGCAGAATTAGGGGAGCTTCTCGGAGGTGTGCCTTCTGCTCTCAGTGGCAGGCTCCCTGCCACCTCTCTCACCCCACTTTAGCTTAACAGAAGTGCTGTTCCAAGTGCGTTCATCCCAGTGCTGAGCATCTGAACAATTCTAGTTCCCATACTTTCCTCTTGGCATGGCCTGTGTTTCAACATTCAGTCCTTGTGAGGTCAGAGGGCCTCTGTTTTCTATTTTGCTTGACCCTGAGGTCTGAGGGGTGTCCTGCTAGGCAGTTGTCACTCTCCTTGATGGTGCCAGTCAGTTGCACATGCCCAGCCTGCTTCATTGTTCTGTTTGTTTTATATTTTTACATTCTGTTTAATATAAAATATATCTGTCTAGCTACTTTTTCCTTCATAAATCGCACTGTTAAAATATCTGGTTACTGGATCTTGAATTTTTAAAATTGAGTTCTGTAAACACTGTCACTTACATAATTTAAATGCTTTCATGATTGCAGCTTAGATTAGCAAGCAGGCCTTGAGGTTTCATGTGTAGTTCGCTTCTTTCACCATTTCTGTGCAGCCCATGCACCCTCCAGGGCTCCTCCCCTGTGTGGTTGGACTCTGTGTTACCACAGTGCAATAGGGGTGATGCCTGTTAACAGAGGTAATGCTGGTGGGCATTATTCAGAAGACAAATGGCCATGCATCTAAATCAGATGTTGTAAATTTTCAAAACAACCAGGTAAATTTTCAGTAGAAATATTTTTTCTCCACAGATAGGCCATCACTAGTCGAAACTTGAGTCCTCACTGTGCATCTGAGTGGTTGCTGTCCCCACAGGGCAGGGACATTTGTCATCCTCAGGCGTGTGCGCTGCTGCCCCTCGGCTCAGGACTCCCTCAGGTCCATCACACAAGGCGTTCTCTGGGTCCTTGTTCTCGTGTGCTGAGGATCGTTACGGTGTTTTGTGTCTCAGAAGAATCCCTTAGGCACCTGCTTAGGAGGAGGTGGCTGAACTGCCTCTTAAACGCTGGACCCAGGCCTTTCTGTGTTTTCTGCCCTAACCCTCAGCGCTAAGCATGTTCTGCCGTGTCTGCAGGTCAGAGATGAGCAGCACCAGTGTTGCCTTGGGAACCTGAAGATCCCTCTCAGCCGGCTGCTGGCCAGCGAGGGCATGACCCTGAATCAGCGGTTCCAGCTCAGTGACTCCGGCCCCAGCAGCACCCTGAAGATGAAGGTCGCCCTCCGGGTACGGGCATCTTGAGCAGGACTTACAGGAGCGGGAGGGGCCACCTGGCTATGCTCTCTGGCTGTGCTCCCAGTGTGGGCGGTGCAGGGCGTGGGGGGTGGGGCCCAGGGCCGGCAGGAAGCCTCGTGTTTGGGGAGCGCGGACACTGGTTCTGTAGGGTCTCAGGAGAGGGCGAGAGCAGACTCAAGACATCCCACAGAGCGGGTATTTCGAGATGGCTTGCGCAGCCCCAGAACTACTCTTTATGCTTGCACAGGAGTCCAGCCAGCCATGCTTTTAAGTCCCCTGGCCCAGGTTAAATTGTCAAAGGCCATTCAGGAGAATTTAATGAAACTCTACAAGATGGTAGAAATTACAGAAAAAAAATTTTGTCCAAAGTAGATGGTAATTCTTGTAAGTACCTACAAGGGATGCAGGGAAATGCTAAAACTGACTAATTTAAAAATGCAAATTAAAATTAACTGACTTTCCAAAAAAATTAAACTCTGTGGAAGGTACAGTCCAGCGCCCGGCCCCAGCACAGCCTCTGCAGAAGGGACTGCTCTGCAACCCCTTGGACTGGTGATTCTCTCTCTGGAAATCTGGCTTTTGGTAGAAATATGGAATGTGGGGAGACTATGCACATAAAGACATTCATGCCACTTTATTTTGTAAAAGCAGGAAAAAATCACAAGCCATCACAAGCCCTGGAGAGCAGACTGCTCAGGGGAACATTGTGCACATTGGAAGGAGGCAGTGAAAGCGTGTGTGGTGGGGGGTCCAGGAGCTCAGGCAGGCAGGGTAGTGGGGGTGGCCTCGCTGGGCAGAGGGTGGGGGGTCCAGGAGCTCGGGCAGGCAATGGGGCGGCCTCGCTGGGCAGAGGGGCGCTTGCCCCCTTCGTCTCCCTGAGGAGTGCTGGCAGAGGCTGCCGTGCAGAGTGAGGCTGGCCACCTGCACAGGGCATGGGACTCAGGCTTTGCCAGCTATGACATTGCCCAAAATGGTGCAGAAAGGCAGGTGAACAGAAGAGGCTGGAGAGAAATACACAGAAATAACATTTACCTCACAGAAGCGATGTTTTGGTTACTTTAACTTTCCTCTTCTAAACCCTCTGTAATGTGGTGTTGCCTTAATAACAGAATAGCTGAACACATNGCTGGGCAGAGGGTGGGGGGGTCCAGGAGCTCGGGCAGGCGGGGTGGGGGGTGGCCTCGCTGGGCAGAGGGTGGGGGGTCCAGGAGCTCGGGCAGGCGGGGTGGGGGGTGGCCTCGCTGGGCAGAGGGTGGGGGGTCCAGGAGCTCAGGCAGGCAATGGGGCGGCCTCGCTGGGCAGAGGGGCGCTTGCCCCCTTCGTCTCCCTGAGGAGTGCTGGCAGAGGCTGCCGTGCAGAGTGAGGCTGGCCACCTGCACAGGGCATGGGACTCAGGCTTTGCCAGCTATGACATTGCCCAAAATGGTGCAGAAAGGCAGGTGAACAGAAGAGGCTGGAGAGAAATGCGCAGAAATGACATTTACCTCACAGAAGCGATGTTTTGGTTACTTTAACTTTCCTCTTTTAAACCCTCTGTAATGTGGTGTTGCCTTAATAACAGAATAGCTGAACAGATAGACTAGATCATTTTTAATGTTTTGTGTTTTAAAGACATATTTGCAAATGAATATATCTAAAGCAGGTCACATATCAGATCATTACCAGTATCACCAGTTCTAATTTTGTGTTGATTTCCAACTCTAGGTGCTCCACCTTGAAAAGCAAGAAAGGTCCCCAGACCACCAGCACTCAGCTCGAGTGAAGCGACCCTCTGTCTCCAGGGATGGGAGGAAAATGCCCATCAGGGCTCAGATGTCCGCGGCGCCCCGCACTGCAGATGGCGGACCCTCCCCACCCGTGCCAGGCAGCGGGAGCGATGGTAAGCCTGGCGAGGAGGAGAGCACCCCGTCTGTGGAGGCCAGCCCCCCAGAGCCAAGTGACCTGGCCAGAAGCTGCTCCAGCCTGCAGGCCAGTGCTGCCTGCTCCCCCAGCCACATCCTCATCAAGGAGCCCACCCCGAGCATCGCTTCGGACGTGTCACTGCCCATCGCCACCCAGGAGCTTCGGCAGCGGCTGCGGCTGCTAGAAAAGTAACTAGACGCCCTTTGCCCTTGTTGTGCCTGGTGGGGGATAGGGGTGGTGCATACCATACAGGGAGCACCTCTCGTATCAGCTATAATAACTGGAGTCTGACCTTTTGACTTGGATAAACCTGCCATTTTTTTGGTCCTCATATTTGGCTCATTTAAGGATGAGAAAGTGAAGGGGCAGTAGGTTCTATGACTGGGAGGAGCCCTGGTGCCTGTCCTTAGACCAGGAAGGCAGAGCCTGGAGTCAACTTGCTGAATCATAATCCCAGGGAGGCACCTGTTTGCTGTATAAGAATAGGCCCTGCTTGTCTGTTTTGATCAACACCTGTTCCAGCTGCCTGGGCGCGTCTGCCTGTCTTGGATGTTTGCGCTCATTCTTGCTTAAACCCCACAGCTCATAGACGTTCTCTGATAAGGAAGAAAAGCACTCGGCAGTTGTCAGCCTCAGACTAGCCTTTTCCTCTCAGCGGAAGGAAGGAACACGATTGCCCTTTGAGGCACTTGTTACTATTTGTTGTTCTAAGAGGTGTGTTGAGTGCGATGTGCAGCCAGGGTGGGTGGGGCGTGTGTGTTCCTGGCAGCCACAGAGCACTGGTCTGTGGGGCCTCTGTGACCCAGACTTAGCACACTCTTCCCCTCGGTACTCTCTCGTGTCCACTGTTCTGGAGAAAAGGAACCAGTTCCTTCCACTCTTGCTATAGAAGGAAATAGAATTTCAAAGAAACTGCTTTTCCTCAGGAGCTCAGCTTGGAAAGTGGCCGAGGTGACCCTGGGGAGCACAGGCTGGAGTGGTTGTGGGCCGTCCTGCGGGTCTGCACTTCAGCCGTGAGAGAATCCAAGTGGGGAGTGTAGATCTCGGCAGATGGCCTGTCAGTGAGAAACAGAGGCACTCGCGTGGGGCTGTGACAGAGGGCAGCTGTGGGTCAGTTCATAAAAACTATGGAAAAGATGTTTATAATCAGGAGACCTCACTTTTACTTTGGGCCCTAACAGCAAAGGCTACCAGCTTTGAATAATCACATTATGTTTAATCCCCAACTGAACTATGAACTCAGCTGGTGCCCAGGTTTGACCCAGCCCACAGGTGCTCTGAGCCCTTCCTGTCTAATCGAGAGAGCACAGTCTTACTGTGTGGGTGCACCTCAGCCCGCTCGGGTGGAGGAGGTGGTGACCTTGTGCTTGCTTCCCCAGTGGGACGACGCTGGGGCAGTCTCCGCTGGGGCAGATCCAGTTGACCGTGCGGCACAGCTCGCAGAGGAACAAGCTGGTGGTGGTCGTGCACTCCTGCAGGTGAGAGGGCACGGGGTGCGGGCAGGGGTGGGCGTGACATGCTCTGGCGTCACCAGCACATGGGCTTGTTTCGACTTTGAAGAACAAAGCAGATTGTCCTGTGACCCTGTATTCAGTGTTTTACTTGCTTTTGTTCTGATGTCTCCTAAGCATGTCCTATTTGTAGTGCTGTGCTGTGGTCTACACGGCATTCCCTGCATGGTGGTTAGAATGTCTGTGTTACTCATAACAGTAGTGAACACAGTTTTCTTTTATTGAGGCATCTTCTGGGGATTAAATTTCCAGGAGTAGGTTTATGTCAATTTACAGCTCCAGAATAGTTTATGGGATCATGACGGGCATTTCCATAGTCTTTCTACAAAGAGGATGCCAGGGGACATTGGCCCCTCTGGCACACCTGTCCCTTCTCCCCACAGTCGGGACCGGTCTGTCCTAACTTGCACAGGGGTTTTGTTTTTGTTATGCTTCAGTTTGTGTGATGGCTGGTGATGGGTAGAGGTGACCGGGTTTTTTCCTTTTGTGTAACTTGTCTCAGGTGGTAGCAGAATCGATATAAATAAATAATACGAATATTTAGATCTTAGAAAAAGCTGTTGGAAACATAGGAAAATAAAATTAGTGACACTTAGATAACCGGTTATGTAAATGTGGAGTTCAGTTCAGTCCTATTTGTTGTGCACCTTCTGTGAGCTTGCTGTTTGAGGGCTGTGGGTGGTGCAGGACGTGGCTCACCCAGAGGGTACTGGTTCTATACCCCAACCTGACCCAAGTGGTGACCAGGTGAATGGCCTGAAGTGGGTGCGTGTAATTCAACACTGGACTGTTTTTGCCCCAGACCAGCAGCCTGGGTCCTCATCTGTGAAGGGTTCAGGGGTCGAAGGACAGAGACTGGGGTCAGCACCAAGCAGGCACAGAGAAAGGCCGAGTGCCACTCAGCAGTCCTGTAAGCAGCATGCTGCACGGCTGCCCTGGGGCCCGGGAGGTGGCTTTATTTGGCCGTAAGGCTGACCTCATTGCCTCATCAGGAGAAGACAATACGAGTTCTGTGGGAAGCGGTAGTTTCTGTGTTGGAAGCAGAGCAAGGTGTCGGAATATCCCCCAAACTCTGGGCACAAGACATGGAGGCAGACGCCCCTGCAGCAAAGATGCTGAAGGAGCAGGGGCAGCAGGCAGAGGCAGGCGTCACTCCTTGTGCTCAGCGTGCAGATGAAAACAAAGCAGAGCCGGGACCCGAGTGTGACGGAGCTGTCTTCCTGGGTTCTAATGTCTAGTGTTCTCCGGTTTGTGTTACAAGGAATCTCATTGCCTTCTCGGAAGATGGCTCTGACCCCTACGTCCGCATGTATTTGTTACCAGACAAGAGGGGGTCAGGAAGGAGAAAACACACGTGTCAAAGAAAACATTGAACCCTGTGTTTGATCAGAGGTAAGGTGTGTACTCAGCTGGGGTAGACGCCGAATTAACACACCAGGAATTAACAGACGCCGAATTAACACTGGCAATGCCTTTGAAATGACTCAAATGTTTAAACACACAACACACTGTTGACAAGTGTAAGTGAAAGAATCAGCAGTTATGAACTTGTTAACGTAACTAACTATTTGAAACTTTCTGTAGACTTGTAAATGTAAGTCCCAGGTGTAAACTATGGACATGGAGGGTCGCTATTAAGCAAAGTGGATGGCCAAAGGCCAGAACCTTCCCTATGGGCACAGATCCATTGCTTTTCACTGAGACAGAAATCAAAACTGAGAATTTTAAAGTATTTTTAAATAACAGTTGAAAAAACAACATCCTAGGATGGACATTCTTGTGAAAAACTAATTCCTAAACAACTGAGAAAAGCAGTGAAAAGACTGGCTTTGCTGCTTGAAGCATCCGAGGTCTCACTGGCGGTCTGGTAACAGAGGCTGTCAGCCTCGGCTGCCCCACGCGAAGATTCTCCGTCTGTGCAACGTGGTATTGCCCGTGATGGTGCTCCAGCTGAAAGCACAGTATTTATGGAAACAACCAAGTCGGTGCTGTTGATGTCTGTTAGTTCGCTTTACACCTTATCTTTGAAGATGCTGGTCATTTGTCACATTTTCACACTTGTAACTGTTTAAACCAAGGTCAGAACCTAACGGGCATGTGCTGAGTCCTGGTGCGGGCCTGCTCCGTGTGGCCGGCGCTTTCCCTCAGCTGCGCGTTAAGGGTGTGGAGACCCCGCGTGCAGATCTGGGTCTCCAGCTGCTGGAGCTCCGCGGGAGGCTGGCCGCATCCCAGCCGCGCGAGGCCTCAGGGTCGGCCGGCTCGGGCGCCCTGGTCCTCAGCGCTGGGTCTGCGGCCTCTGGCCTCGGCCATTGGAAGTGTGTTGCCACCTGTCCCCCTCCCAGCAGCTGCTCACGTGGCCCTTAGTCCCCCCACTCTGGTTGTGAAGTGACTCCTGTAGTCTTAGGCCTGGCCAAGGGAAGGAGCCTGTGACCTACGTCACCCCTGCTGTCCGTGTGTTACTACTCACTGTGACGAGAGGGGACACCTCCCAATCTGAGAGGGGGCTTTGGGCAGTGGTGCCCTTCACATACTCAGGGTGCCAGGTCTTCTCTTACATTTTGAAAATAATGAAAAAACTTTGTTTTTGATTCTTCATGAAATGCCAGATCCAGACATCTAGCAGAACTTAATTTTATAATGAAAAACAAACATTTGCAATGGTCTTGTAGGCAGAAATGTCATTTTTTTACTTGTAATGAAATACATCAAAATAATGGAGAAATTTAAGGAAGGTCCCCTTGTTGGTTTTCAGCTTCGATTTCAGCGTCTCCTTCCCAGAAGTGCAGAGGAGGACACTGGACGTCGCAGTGAAGAACAGCGGCGGCTTCCTGTCCAAAGACAAAGGGCTTCTTGGCAAAGTAAATTTGAAAACCTTCATCAGCTCCTACACTTTGAAAATTAAACACTTAACCCAAGTACATCTTTATGGACGATACCTATTTAAGTGCAAAGGGGTGAACTACTCTGTGATTATTGCTTATTTATAAAACAGAGTATCTTGAAAGACCTGCCTATCAAATAAGACATCAGTACATTTGAAGATACTTTACTTTCATTGTTCTTGCATATTCACATTATTGGCATATTAGTCATACTAACACTGAACTTACAGTTGAAGAAAGTGTTAGTTTTCAAATTTAACATTTTCTTCAAGCATCACATTGAAAGAAAACACAAGAGAAGATACTTGCTTATAGTTCCATCGTCTAACCCACTGTTCTTTTGCTAATAAATCATTGGTTTCATTTCTCTGTGTTTCCTCTAGTCTTTACCCACATTCACACTTGACTCTTGCATGTGGTTATGTATTCTTTAATACATAGAGGTTAAGTTAGGGAAGAGGGCTTTGAATTGTTCACCATTTACAGATGAGCCACACCAGCCCTGCTGCTGTCAGCTGCACTCGAGCCACACCCCCGTAAATCACCTCCACTGAGCCTTCAGGGTTAACTGAATTTTAGGACAGTTGGATACAGGAAAAACCTCTGGATGTGTACAACCTCATAATTCTTTTTTGTTGTTGTTGTTTTTAATATAAATTTTTTGTCTTATTTCATAACTTTAAGCATGCACACCCACCCACACAGATCCACATACCTATATGTTTTATCATGGCACCCACTTATAGCAAGAAGTATTTTTTTCATATTAATTTATTTTACTTTATAAATCTAGTTTTAACACATTACATTATTGTCAATCTGTTAGGGCCTCCAAAATAAGGAGATAAATAGAAAAAATATACTTCTAAACTTCTTTTTTTTTTGAGAGGGCATCTCTCATATTTATTGATCATATGGTTGTTAACAACAATAAAATTCTGTATAGGGAACTCAATGCACAATCATTAATCAACCCCAGGCCTAATTCTCAACAGTCTCCAATCTTCTGAAGCATAACGAACAAGTTTTTACATGGTGAACAAGTTCTTACATAGTGAATAAGTTCTTAGATGGTGAACAGTGCAAGGGCAGTCATATCACAGAAACTTTCGGTTTTGATCATGCATCATGAACTATAAACAATCAGGTCAATTATGATTATTCGTTTGATTTTTATACTTGATTTATATGTGAATCCCACATTTCTCCCTTATTATTATTATTATTATTATTATTATTTTTATTTTTAATAAAATGCTGAAGTGGTAGGTAGATGCAAGATAAAGGTAGAAAACATCAACCTCATAATTCTTAGGAGTCAGAGGATAGAAAAGATTGAAAATGAAGACTCCAAGTAAAGGAGAGTTTGGCCCTCCAGGTGGGGACAGGAGATTGAGATGGAGATGGGAGGTGGAGTGAGGGCTGAAAGACGGCACCTGAGCGTTCACGAGTGTTTTCACCCACAGGTGTTGGTCGGTCTGGCATCTGAAGAGCTCGCCAGAGGCTGGACCCAGTGGTGAGTGCCCCCCTCCATAGACAGAGCCCACCACATACTAGCGCCTCACTGCTGACTGCACGTCTGCGTCATCTCTCTGTGCTCTCCAGGTATGACCTCACGGAAGACGGGACGCGGCCACACGCAGTGACATAGGCCGTGCTGGCCATGAGCAGCCCTGCCGGAGGACCTGCCCCGCCGTGTGCCCAGGGTGCACCCTCCCACAGATGCTCCAGTGCTGTTTCATAACCCGGTGTATTTAGTTATACAAACCTTACCAGTTTTATATGACATGTTGGCATCGTAGGCATATTTGGCCAATGTTATCATTAAATTTTATATGTTTAATTTCCTCTAGTATTTCAGTTATTCCAGTGCACACTGGGATGTCATACTGTGTCCCAGAAAGTTGTTTGTCAGCTATATCTATGAGGAGGCAGATGTGTATATGCTTTCCTTTTACCTTGTCTTATATATCTCTGAGGTACACTATAGCATGTAAATAGACACTATTTTTTATAATCTGTATATGCTGGTTTGATTCAGAAGAAAATGGATCAAGGACATATGTATTTTTTCTTCTAAAACTTACTAAGTTCTTATGACAAATAATCATTTTTGTCTTTGCAGAAAAAGTTCTCAGTGACCTATTTTGTGGTGTTTCTTTTTGAAAAGCTGAAAGATTATTGAATATTAGTATATTTCTGCCATTACAAATGATGAAAGAAAGTATTCAAAATAATGAGACTTTCATAAATATAAAGATGTATTATTCGGAAGTCATTTGAAGTGCTGATCGAAAAAAACGTATAACCGAGTAATGTAAAATATTAGGGGAGAATGGTCATGGCCCGTAAATCGTAGTGTACTGATCCGAATTTCTCACATACAATGGAATGTCTTAAATTTATTTTTAATTGCTTGTTATAACTTACTCATGAAATAGTGCACAGATGCTCGATCATACTGTTCCTGAAATGTAACACAGGTTTTCCCTGTTAGCAGCCAGGTCATGGCGAGCTGGTCAGTCATGGGCTTTGCTAACACTCAGTGTTTCCCGGCCTGGGAAGGAAGACAGCTCACAGTGTCACCGTAAAGGCTGCAGAGAGGTCGGATGACCGCATTTGCAGTGCGATGGCGTGGTGGACAGGTACCCAGGCCAGGCCTCGGCTTCCTGCTGCCTCTGTGCCTGGGCCCGGTCGGGACCAGCCAGGCTGTTCACTAAGTAACCGCTTCCTGGTTTCCTCGTTCTCTGCCAAGACTGACCTCGGTATTGGGATATTGTTCTACAGTGTTTATTTTGGAACATTTTTCTCTCTTTGGATTATTAAAAGCATCTTTGTGTATTAAGAGTCCCGCACCTCATGTGGGAGGCGAGGCTGTGAGTGATGTGTGCGTGCCTATAAGCCATGTATGACATGTGCAGGGAGAGTTTTAAATATTTAAAGCTATATGATGAAAATGACTTCCTTGGCCATATGAATATTCTAAAATTATGTATACTTTGGGGAAATTCAGCTTTATGTTGAAACTGGAGATCCTACCATAAGTCATGCTGTGGACTCGTGGACTGCTCACGTGGCCAGACAAACCAAAGTGCCTGTTGTGGTGGGTGCCAACCCTCATTCCTGACACTCCTACCTTCCAGTGGATTTTAATTTCATATTAATTTACACTCGGAACCATGGGTTTATTTATAATGGAGTCTATGGCTTTACAACACATTTCATGTAATCGTGAGGACTAATATAATCTCGCTATTTCCTACTTAATGAAGCCTCACTTGAAAGCCTCATAAAAACCATTTCTGATGATGTACTGAGAAGTTTATGAATATACTGATACACGTGATCATACATGCACACAAAATATTTAACTGGTATTTTAGTAGCATGAGAAAGACAGGTAATTGCTTATTAAATCTAGTTGACCACTCATGCCATTGGATTCATTTAAAGATTTTTTTTTAATTAAGTCAGTTGAAGGGCTTTTGGCATAATCTATACATAATCAACACTAATTGAAATTCAGCGAACTTGTAATTTATACCAACATCCTAAACATTTGAGTTTTCCAGCCATGTGCTTCACCTGTTTGTTTTTGCCTGTGGGAATGCGATTGGGCAGAATAAGTACAGAGAGAGGCACAGACCGGCCAGCCTTATGCTGCCCTCTGACCGGCACAGGGGCAGCTGGGGCTGCAGATGGAGCAGAGCTCCTGCAGGCGCCGAGGCGCTGTTTTCTGAAAGGAAAGGCAGGGTGCTAGGACAGGAGAGCCCCCGCGAGGGAGTCTGTCTCTGGCCCGATGAGCTCGGCGAAAGTCCTCGTGTCTGCAGGAGATGCTGGGAACTGCTGCCAGGGCCGGCCGCCCTCCAGCAGCGGCCGAAAAGGAATGCTCTCCAGTTCCAGGGACGTTCGTTCCTAGTTCTCTGCAATCAGTCCATCTAGGAAAAGGGAACTGTGACTTGTCCGCACTGAGCCAAAGCGACAGAGGGAAATTGGAAATTGAATGAACTTGAGTTCAGTTAGGTGCATGTGTGGCTCGCTTCTCCGGTGCCTGAAAGTGTGGGCGTGTGAAGGTGTTTTCAAGTTTCAGATTCAAACAGAAGCCTTGTAGCTGTATTCATCAATTGTGGTACAGATACAGAATTCCCGTACAGATACTCTTCATCAAGAGGTCAGCCCTTCTTTTCAAGAACCTAAGCCAAACGCAGATTGGGGTGTATGTACATTTGTGTGGTTGCTACTTTAACTCCAGTTCAAGCTGGATCACCCACTGCAAATGGCAACATCAGCGGGTTTTTATTATAGAATGCCTTTTTGCTCAAATTTTCCACGGCAGTGCGTGTATTTATTCAATAAAACTTTTATGTTAGCTCACCTGTGACTTGTTTTTTTGTCTTTTGGAGTGAAGTTTTCAGTGTGGGACGGAATAATGCACTGGCAGATACAGCATACTATTTGTTTACAGTGTGTGAGTGCTTTCATTTTTGAAAGAACTGCATCAGATCATAGATAGGTACCATCCTCACATTCCCACCTTAATTTGACTTGCCTGGCTGCTTGGTCTCTGGGTTTTGAAAACAGCTTTCCTGAAAGACAGTCTTGAGGGGAAGAAAGTCTTGAATGTGCTTTGTGACCAGAGCTCGGAGCAGAAGTGAAACAGAGGCTGGTTTCAGAGAGGAGCGGAGATGCCAGAGGCGCCCCCTGTCCAGATGCGGGCACAGGACAGGGCCCGCCTGAGCCAGCGCTGCTCTCGGCCCCTCGGCCCTGCACACAGCCGACTTCTTCCTTGGCCCATCGGGCACCTTCGCCCTGGAATTCCCTGATGTGCGGCTGGCTGGCTGTCGAGCTGGGTGACTATCTTCTCCTCCAACCAGACTCTGGATATTGGGTCACTCAGGCTTTGGGTCCAGTCCCTTTTTTAGTTTTTCTCTGCATTGTGCTTAATAGAATTGATATCCCATGGTTTTTGGTTTCCAATTTCTATCTCCAGTACAGACCTTGCTGCTGCACTCACGATGAGTCTACCAGCTGCTTCCTCATTTTCCCTCTGTTCTTGGAGGTCTCACAATGTCCCCTCTTGTCTATCTGTCTGGGTTTTGAGCTGATGCCTCCCTCTGCCTCTCTCCCCTCCCACACACAGATGCCAAGTCCTTCAGTTCTACCTCAGAATATATGTGCTTCACCTGCTGTCTCCAGCATTCAAGCCGCTGCCTTTCTCCCACCGCACAACAGCCAGACCGCATCCGTAGCTCACCACTACTGCCTTCGTTGCTCTTAGAATAAAGACCGAGGTCGTATCCGAGGCCCTGAGGCCCTCCACGCCGTATTTCCTCCTCTTCCTGTGCCTCACATGCTTGGTGCTTCTTGAGTTCCTCAGACTCCCCACCTCCCCGTCCCAGCGCCTTCAGCCTGCCTTCCTGCTGACCAGGCCCAGCAGTGGGGGTGAAAGTTGAGGCAGTTGTCAGCTGTATGGCCGAATGCTGAGAACAGACCCTAACACATGCACAGCGCTTTGGCAGTGACAGGGAGTCTAGGTCAAAGTACTTAAATCTCTGTTCAGTGGTTAGCTGACCAACTCAGCTAACTGAGCAGAGACCTCAGAGGCAGCACATAACAAAGGATACAGCTTTCAGAGACTTAATCCAAGAAAGTCACTTAAAAAATGACAAGAGACTTAATCCAAGAAAGTTACTTTAAAAAAATGACAAAGTGGAGGGAGAGAAATTGCACACTGTTATTCTAAATGTCCAGTTTTAAACAAAAATCCAGGAGATGCAAAGAAATGGTATGTACTGGGGAAAAAGGCAGCAGAAACGTCCTTGAGGAAGCCCAGATGTTGGACAGAGAAGAGGAAGACCTTCATCAGCTGTTACAAGTATATTCAGAGAAATAAGGGAAACTTTCTAAAGAATTCAAGGAAAGTGTGAGAATAATATCTCAGCAAAACAGACACTATCAGTAAAGAGATAGAAGTTCTGGAGTTTAGAGTTTATTAGATGAGGTGCAGAATTTACCCCAGGAGCCCAACCACAGATGGGAGCCGACGGGGGAGCCAGCAGACCTGAGGCGAGGCTAGCCCTTCCGAGGAACAAAAGTAAAGACTGAAGGAAAATGCGCATCACCGCTACGTGGAGCCTAGACGGGAGGAGGGAGAGCAGGCCAGAAGGAATGACGAAGTGATGGGCAGACACACCCAGACTCCGGTGGAGACGCAGCCCATTCGAGGAGCTCAGTGGACTCCACGTGGCACAGAACTCCACATTTAGACACCTATCAGCCAAGCCAATCAAAGTTGAATAGTCTCAAAGCAGGAGGAGAGGTGGTCCCACACAAGGACTCACAATAAGATTCGCACCAGTTTCTCATCCAAAACCATAGAGGCCGGAGTGGGGGGTGGGATTCAAGGTACTGAAAGACTGTCAGTTGAGAAGCCTCTCCCCGACAAAAAAGTCCTTCCAAAATGGAGAAATACAGGCTTTCCTAGATTTAAAAACTATAAGAATGGATGTCTTTGCCTTTGCATATCTTATTTAAGGTTGTTCTGAAACCTCATATGGCTCTTGAGGCATTTCCTAGTGTTCTGCTGTGACATTCCCCAGTTGTGGGAAGCGGGGTAGCCCAGTGGTTAAGAGTGTGGCTCGGAGTCACATGCCCACCCTCAAACCTCTCCTCTGGCCCATATGGCCTGGAGCAGGTCTTACAACTTCTCAGTGCCTACGATTCCCTCTGTACAGGGTGTAGCCGTGGTGCTGGTCTGAAAGGGGGCATGCAGGCCAACATAAGACAACACCTGTGAAGTGTACCATGGTGCCTGGCACACGCTCTGGGCCAGCTGTCACTGCTGGGGTGCCCGATCTCCCCGACCTCACACCAGAACGTAGTCCCTGTCTTCCTCACCTGCCAGTGCTGGCTGCCTGGGCTGACAGCTGGGCCGTCAGATACCGGCTCCGTATGAATGGAGTTTGGCTGGATTTGTGTCTGGCGCCTCTTATTCTACACTGTCTGTGAGAGAGAGCATGATGTCGTAACTCTTACAGCGGTTCAGTGAGCCTGGTAGATGGGCAGCAACCTGCTCAGAGAGGTAACACCTTGAACACAGCCATCTCCGTGCCATGAGAGACAGCCACCCACCCCCTCAGGCCTGAGAGTCCAGGCCTGCGGGAGGGACTGCCACCGTCCCTCACTCCTGGAGGGGCTTCTGAAGGATCTGGGCACTGGTTCTCCTGCCAGGGGCTCTCCACCAGCATCGGATGGTGTACTTAATGAGGCCTGGCTTGTCCCATTTTGCAGGACTCCAGGTGAGAATGCCACAGACCCAGCCTGGTTACCCCACAGCAATCCCCACCCAGGTTTTCCTGCGACATGATAGTGGATCGAGGGCCACACTGCTGGTATCAGACCTCCGGCTGGCCTCAGCTCCCACGCGGGGCAGCTTGCGCTGTCCACATGCTTTCCTGGAATCCCCCTGTTAGCATAAGATGGGAGGCTGGTCCTCACGGTATTGGATCACCCCACGGCCTTAAGCTGCCAAGGCTGGATCTGTCTGTGTGATGAGAGGCAGAGCTGTTCGTGGAGGCAGTAAGAGCCGGAAGGTACAGGCCTCTGTTCTCAGTGTGATGGAGGCTGGGTCTCCCATGAAATTTGCTTCCCTTTGGTAGCAAATAATTTGCACTGCATGACCTCTCTGTGTTACCCCAAATTACCTCCCACACATCCAAGGTTTTGCAAGCTGTCTCAGCTGTCAGGTGAGAGACCAGGCTTTTTATTTATGATCATTTTGACATAAATAAAACCTAACACCTAAAGTTTCTAGGATCATTCTTTTAATGCAACAGCTCTTCCAAGATCTTGCAGAGATAGTGGGGCTAGTGTGTCTTCCACACCCCTCCTGTGTGGATGCCCTTGTCAAATACCGAACTGCACACTGAATAAATGATGGGAAGATGAGGCCACCACAAGGCTGTCGACCTCCAAGCTGGGAAACTCAAGGCTGCATAGAAGCCGTGCGTCCCGAGCCACTCGCAGACTTGGGGTTTGTGAGGTGGATGCAGAAGCTATTCGGCTTTTCAGCTGGTTGTCTGGACTGCTTCCTTCTTATTTGGGTCAGGGCAGCAGAGTTGGGGACAAGGAACCCCAGAGATGGCACGGCCAGATGGGGTGTTTGGGGATTGGCCAGTGTCCTCCGGATTTCTGAGAAGAGCCTTACAGTCCCGTAAAGTTGGGCTACCTTCTCCTTTGCCTGTGTTGGCTGTCATGTTTCGTCCCTGACACAACTGGCTTCGTTGAAGCGCGGTTCGACACCCCGAACATGAGGACCTGGGACAGGCAGAGCAGCCGGTAAAGTCGCTTCGTCCTTTCTGGTCGAGCGCAGGGAAGAGCTTGGGGCATGTTTTGTTATATCTCATATATTCCCCTTCTTGGAAAATGTGAACTTTGGAAGCATCTCACTGACTTCCTTGAAATATAAAATAAATGGCCAAACTTGGGTAACACTCTCCAGTCACTCAGTGACGTTTAAATCACACACCTGCTGTGTGCAAGACAGTGTCAGGGCAGGGGGAGACCCAGTGTGTATATAAGCACGTGTGCATGTGTACGTGTGCATGAGTGTGTGCACAATTGTGTATGTTGAGCACATGCAGTGGGAATGCATTATGTATGTTGTATGTGCTGTGCATGCACAGGCATGTGGGTATGTGTGTGTTGTATGTACACATGCACCTGCGTGTCCATGTGTTATGCATGTGTGAGTGTGTACATGTATGTGTGTTTAGCTCTTCCAGACCACCTTCACAAACCCAGAGTCTGAGCGTGGGTCCCCTCAGTAGACCCTGAGGCCACCAGGCTCACGGGCATGTGGTTTAATTTGGAATGTGGTCCTGGGAGTCTTCTTCCTTCTGCTCTATTCTGTGAAACAAGTTGTGTGAGAACAGTCATCATCTCAAATGCTAAATGATTTTCCCCATTTATGGAGTATAACAATGAAGCAAAACTGAAGGAACAAAATAGCAGCAGACTCACAGACTCCAAGAAGGGACTAGTGGTTACCAAAGAGGAGGGGTGTGGGAGGGCGGGTGGGGAGGGAGGGAGAAGGGGACTGAGGGGTATCATGACTGGCACACATGGTGTGGGGGATCACGGGGATGACAGTGTAGCACAGAGAAGGGACACAGTGAATCTGTGACATCTTGCTGCACTGATGGACAGTGACTGCTTGGGGTATGGGTGGGGACTTGATAATATGGATGAATGTAGTAACCACATTGTTTTTTCATGTGAAACCATAAGAGTGTGTATCAATCATACCTTAATAAAAAAATATACAGTCGTCATCTTTCTTGAAAATCTGGTGAAACTTGCCTATAAAATTTCTG